ATATGAAGGCAGTTCTAAAGTAAAAGTTCACAGCCATTAAGTACATACATTAAAAGAATAGAAAGATACCAAATAGCTGGGCTCAGTGGCGCACGCCTATAATCCCAGTGACTCGGGAGGCTGTGGCAGGAGGATCACGAGTTCAAAGCCAGCCTCTGCAACAAGGAGGTGCTAAGCAATTCAGTGAGAACCTGTCTCCAAATAAAATACAAATAGGCCTGGGGATGTGGCTCAGTGGTTAAATGCCCCTGAGTTCAATCCTCAGTGCCAAAAAATAAAAAAGAAAGAAAAAATCCAAAACAAAACAAACAAAAAAACCCCCAAACCAAACAAACCAACAAAAACCTCCACATTAAAAGATACTGCACTGGGGCTGGGGGGGCTGGGGTTGTAGCTCAGCGGTAGAGTGCTTGTCTCACATGTGCGGGACCCTGGGTTTGATCCTCAGCACCACATAAAAATAAATAAGTGAAATAAAGGTAGTGTGTCCAACTACAACTAAAAAATAAATATTAAAAAAAAGATACTGCACCATGAGCAAGTGGGTTTCACTCCAGGGATGCAAGGTTGTTTCAACATGGAAATCAATAAATGTAATTCACCACAGAAACAGATGTAAGGACAAAAATCATATGACTATTTCAACAGATGCAGAAAGAGCATTTTACAAAGTGTAGCACCCATTCATATTTAAAACACTAGAAAAACTAAGGATAGAAGAAACTTATCTCAACACTGTAAAGGCTGTATATGACAAATGCAAGGTCAACATTATACGGAATGGAGAAAATCTGAAAGCATTTCCTCTAAAAACAGGAACAAGATAAGGATGCCCACTTTCACCACTCCTGTTCAACATAGTCCTTCAAACTCTGGCCAGAGCAATCAGTAAGAGAAGAAAATTGAAGGTATACAAATAGGAAAAGAAGGGTGAAAATTCTCTCCTGTTTGCTGACAACATGATCCTATATTTAGAAGACTCCAAAAAATACTCCACAAGGAGACTTCTAGAGCATGTAAATTAATTCAGCAAAGTAGCAGGATCAATCACATGCCTAGACTGCAATGATGAATAAGCTGAAAAAGTAATTAGTAAAAGTATCTCATTCACAATAGCCTCAAAAAGAATAAAATACCTGAGAATCAACAAAAGAGGTTGAAGGGCCCCTACAATGAAAACTATAGAATACTAAAGAAAGAAATTGAAGAAGACCTTAGAAGATGGAAGGACCTCTCATGTTCTTGGATAGAATTAATATTGCCAAAATGGACATACTACCAAAAGCACTATATAGCTTCAATGCAATTCTCATCAAAATTCCAATGACATTCTTCACAGAACTAGAAAAAGCAGTTATGACATTCATTTGGAAAAACAAGAGACCGGGGATGGGACTGTAGCTCAGGGGTAGTGGGCTTGCCTAGCACGTGTGAGGCCCTGGGTTCGATCTTCAGCACCACATAAATATAAGTAAATAAAATAAAGGTATTGTATCCATCTACAACTGCAAAAAACAAACAAACAAACAAACAAAAAACCTCCAAGAGACCCAAAAACAGGTCTCAGGGTGAGAAAAGCGAAGCAGGAAGCATCACAATACTGGACTTCAAATATACTACAGAACTATAGTAACAAAAACAGCATAGTACTGGCACCAAATAAGCATGGAGACCAATGAAACAGAAAAAAAGACACAGAGACAATACCATATAAATGTAAGTATCTCATACTAGACAAAGGTGCCAAAAAATATGTTGGAGAAAAGGTAGCCTTTTTAACAAATGATGCTGGGAAAACTGGAAATCCATACGTAGGAGAATAAAATTTAACCCCTGTATTTCACCCTGTACAAAAGTCAACTCAAAATGGAACAAAGACCTAGGAATTAGACCAGAAAGCCTGCAACTGCTAGAAGAAAATACAGGCCCAATACTGCAACATGTCAGCTCAGGAACTGATTTCCTTAAGATGACTCATAAAGCACAAGAAGCAAAACAAAAAATCAGTAAGTGGGATGGTATCAAATTAGAAAGTTTCTGCACAGCAAAGGAAACAATTAGTTGCGTGAAGAGAGCCAACAGAATGAGAGAAAATCTGTTACCTGCTCTTCAGACAGGGAATTAATATCCAGGATATACAAAGAACTAAAAAAACAAGCAATAAATGGGTAAAGAGCTGGGCATGGTGGTTCATGCCTGTAATCCCAGAGGCTTAGGAGGCTGAGGTAGGAGGACAGCAAGTTCAAAGCCAGCCTCCATAACTTAGCAAAGACTTAAGCAACTTAGTGAGAATCTGTCTCTAAATAAAAAATAAAAATGGCTGGGGATGTGGCTCAGTGGTTAAGTGACCCTGGGTTCAGTTTCCACTACGGAGGGGGGGGGGGCGAGAAAAGAAAAGAACTAAAAAGACACTTCTCAAAGAAAGAAATACAAATGGTCAACAAATACATGAAAAAATATTCAACATCTCTAGCAATTAAAGAAATGCAAATTAAAACTACATTGAGATTTTATCTCACTCCAGTCAGAATGGCAATTAGCAAGAATATAAGTAACAATAAAGATTGGTGAGGATAAGGGGAAAAAGGTACACTCATACTTTTTTGGGACTGCAAATTAGTGCAACTACTCTGGAAACAGCATGGAGATTCCTTAAAAACAAAACAAGCTGGGCGCAGCAGCACAAGGCTGTAATCCTAGTGGTTCCTGAGGTTGATACAGGAAAATCCAGAGTTCAAAGCTAGCCTCAGCAAAAGGCACTAAGCAACTTGGTGAGACCCTGTCTCTAAGTAAAATACAAAATAGGGTTGGGTATATGGCTCAGTGGTCGAGTGCCCCTGAGTGCAATCCCTGGTACCCCTCAAAACCAAAAAAAAAAAAAAAAAAAAAAAAAACAACCAACCAAACAAACAAAAAACAACCTATGAATGGAACCCATCATATGATCCAACTATCCCACTCCTTGGTTTTATATCCAAAAGATTTAAAATCAGCATACTATGGTGATACAGCCACATCAATCTTTATAGCAACACAATTCACGATAGACAAGCTTTGGAGCCAACCTAGGAGCTCTTCAATAGATTAATGGATAAAGAAAATATGTCATATGTACACAATGTAGTATTACTCAGCCATAAAGAAGAATGGCTTTATGACATCTGTCAGTAAATGGATAGAACTGGAGACTAACATCCTAAGTTAAATAAATCAGTCCCCAAAAGTCAAAAAGTCAAAGGTTGAAAGCTAATCCAAAATAGGAGGAGGGCAGATTAAAAAAAATGAAAGATCAGTGCAGCAGACAAAGAGGAATGAACGGAAGAAAGGAGAGATGGGATAGGGAAAGACTATGGAATGAATATGACCTAAACTTTCCTTCCATATATGAATATACCACAGTGAATCTCACTATCATGTACATCCACAAGGCACTGATTAAAAAATAAAAAAGTATAAGTAAAGAGCAGAAAGATCAGTAGAGTGGAATGAAGGGAACAGAGGAGGGAGAAGGGAAGAGAAAGGGGAACTACTGGGGACTAAATTAGAACATACTATATTCCATGATTTTATAATTACGTCAAAATGAACCCTATTGTTATGTATAACTAAAAATAACCAATGGGAAAAAAAATACAAATGCTGGCAAGGATGTGAAGAAAAAGGTACGCTCATACCTTGTTGGTAGGACCACAAATTAATACAATCAGTCTGGAGGGCAGTAAAAGATTTCTCAAAAACACTAGGAGTGTAACCACTATATGACCCACTTATAAATATCCACTCCTTAGTATTTATCCAAAAGAAATAAAATTAGCATACTGTTGTGATGCAGCTACATCCATAGTTGAAAGCAATGCGACTCACAATAGCCAAGTTATGGAACCAGCCCAGGTGTCCATCAATAGGTGAATGGATTAAGAGAATGTATTTGTGTACACAGACACACAGACACACAGACACACAGACACACACAAAATGGAGTTTTATTCAGTTACAAAGAAGAATGAAATTATGGCATTTGCCAGTAAATGTAAGGAACTGGAGAACATCAAGCTAAGTGAAATAAGTCACACTCAGAAAATCAAGGGCTGAATGTTCTCTTTCATATGTGAAAGCTAGAGCAAAGTGAGGGAAAAAAAGTGTATGTGTATGTTGGGGGAAGAATATCATAAGGACAGAGGGAAGATCAGTGGAGTAAAAGGAGACAGAGGGAGAGGAACGAGAGAGAGGAAAGGGGAGGAAATGCAGAATTAATCTGACAAAAATATGCTAGATGCTTGTTTAAATATACCACAGTGAATCCCACCTGTATGTATATCTATAAAGTACCAGTTAAAAATAAATAAATAGAAGGAAGACCAGCAGAGTAAAAGTGGGGAATAAGGGAATTGGGAGGGGAGGAAAGAGGAGGCACTGGTGAATTAAAATAGAGCAAATTAAATTTCATACCTGCATGTTATGTCAAAATGAACTCAGTCATTATGTATAACTATAATGCACCAATAAAAGCATTAAAAAAAGAAAAAAAGCCGTACTTTCTTCATTAAAAAACTACTTTAGACGTTTTATCCTTTCTGAAGACTTCTAAGACCAGTAATTGGGAAGCGATAGGTTTGTATTTGCTCCAAACTAAATCTACCTGACCATTATTTTCTGCCAAATAATTAGATGTATTTTGGTCTGTATCTATAGACAGCAAGTATTTAAAAGGCGCTTTTAAAAAACAAACAAAATAAGTAATAAAATAGTTTAGAGATGTTTTAGCTGGGAGAATAACTCAGTGGTAGAGTACTTGCTTAGTATGTGTCAGGCTTTGGGGTTAATCCATAAAAAACAAACAAAACAGAAACAAATGTTTAAAAACAAAAGAAGCACATTCTTAAAAACTTCTTAGTTGCATCTTCCCTTTGGAATGAAAAAAATATGTTATTTAAGCGATTTAGGTGAAAGCCATAAAATACATCAAAGTCACCACCATATGCTAACATTGTAATAAATACCTCATATCTTGGATGAGAGAGACCCTGAGTGTTGGTAACATAACTCCTGAATCAGATTTTCTTCTTTCTGGTCCCAGGGCAACTAGTAGAAAAACACCAGCAAAGTATTAGAAAAATAACATTAAGACTTGAAATTTAAAATGAATCTTTTCTAACAAATAATACAATGTGTGCAAACTCTGGCCCTAAGGGCTGTCATTTTCTACAGCTATTCATTCTAATAGCTCTGGATGATTACATGAAAGCAATGTTCACAAATTAAGTGATTAAATATGTGAACCTTCATCTCCAGACTCATAAATTGTAATCACACAGTTTTAAACTCTGGAAGTATATATATATATATATATATATATATATTTTAAATTGTAACAGTTTTGGCTCTTCAGTTTGATAACCTTCTACTTCAAAGTTAACAATCCAACCTATATTATGTACTCCATGCAAAGTGAGTAATCTCAATAGATGTTCTGAATTATAATGTCCATGAGTTATTCTCTTATGAAGTCTAAACAGGTAACATTTATGAAAGAAGGAGAGATGATGATCTTTTGTATCAATAGCCAACCAATCAACTATTGGCTAAAATATGGTGGCTAGTGTGTTCAGTCTGGCTTTACATGAGACGCCATGAGTTTTGTGCCCTTTCTTCATTTCCATTTTCCCATTTGTAAATGAAAACTAAATTGCAACATCACACTTGGCAAATACATTGATATAAATAGAATTTAGGATGTGGAGTTTTGCTCTACCTTGAATCTTTATTTTTCTCAGTTTTTAGGTGCATTTTACTTTGTGAGATCAGGATACATAACAGAACAAACACACATATATATGCATACACACATATAAACCTGTCTTTGAGAAAGTTGGGTAGAGAACATTTTGGTATATTAGTATTTATACTTTTTTTGGTACTTGGGTAAAAGGCTAGGTTGACATCTGGCAGGTATAAATGATCACTGATGGGACTGCCAGAGGGAAGAGGATGTGGCCAAGCCAATCTATAGGTAGTATTTTTGAGGGTCTTCCATACTAGGCAGGTGATGAAAAGGCTATTTGTTTAGGCAGTTTGGGGAGGGAATTCTAAATGAAAAGACCAATCTCTCTTGATATTCAGGAAATAATGGACACTGAAGAAATTGTTCCTGAGACTTACAGGGAATGTACTATGTTTATTTTCCTGTTTAAGATCATCACCACTTAAGTACATTATTAAAGATTTTTCCTTTTGAGGATAAAATGAAGTGTCTCAAAGAATACTCTCTACTCCAAATGAATTGACAGCATGAAAGATGGCCATATAAGTGGCAGGAAATAGGCTGAGAAGAAGAGAAAAAAGATTACAAGGCAGAAAGGAGCTGAAACCATAATCAACAAGTTAGCCAGAAGAAGACCTGACAAGGAGGAACCATATTGCCAGAGAGCTGGTATAGCTCAGTGGTAGAGGACTAGCATGTGCAAGGCTCTGGGTTGAATCCCAAATAAATAAAAATAAAAGAGGAATTTAACATTTAAGAAAGCAGCAGCATTCATGGTTTGAACATTCACAGGCATAAGCATATTCTGTAAATCCTATTCTAGAACCCTATATTCTAGTCACCCTTCTCTGCTCAATGTTCCTTCAAAAGAATGTACTTTTTCATGTCTTCATGCATTTGTTAAAGTATTCTCATCATTTACTGCTCTGTATCCTTTTCCTTGTTTACAGCCTATGTATCACTTTAAATTGGAAAGTAATATGCATAGCTTAATGACTTAGAACATGGCTTTCTTGAACATTATAGACTTTAATAGATGTCTTTCTTTGCGTGAGTAAGAGTTTCTCTATGGACTATCTCCTTACCTGTAAACTGGGAGGGAACAGTGACAGTATTTACTTTATTGACATAGATCTTAACTTTATAATAGTGCTTAGCACCAAGTAAGTTCTCAATGAAATGCAATGAAATCTATCTTTAATTCTGTCCCAATGTGAGATCTTTCCTGAATATTCTCTGTCCCTTAAGCACATTGTTGGATAAACCATTGTCTCTCTAATAAGACTTGTAAAATTAAAACTCTATCACAGAACATACCACAACTTCATTTTTATTACTCCTACTAAATTATACCTGTTGAGATGCAGTTGTGTCCTATTCTTAGAATACAGAGAGGGCCTGTAGTAGAGGCCCACATATAGGGTGTGCTCAGCAAATACTCAGGGAAATGAGGCTACTGAGGGACAGATGCTAGAATCTTGAATGTCAAGTTAGAACTTTATTCTAGGGACAGGGAGAATTTTGAAAATAAATGCTATGCTCCTGAGGACTTTTTTTTAAACAAGAGTGACAGTGTGATCATGTAAGAAAAAAAAAAAGAAGTTAAAGTAGAAATTATTCCAAAGGCCAGAGATGGTGGATAAAGTAAAAGAGTAGTAGCCAGTGAAAGCAAAGGGTCAGATTCAAGAATCAAAAAACAACATCTGGTATTAAAATAAAATGTTTTAATATATACTATCAACTAATTATAACCTTTGATTTTTTTTGGTGATGGGGATTGAATCCCAGGGCCTCATGTAGGCTAAGCACACACTCTACCATTGAACTATACTCACAGTCCTGAGGTTTTTTTTTTTTTTTTTTAATCTTAATTTTGCAAATGAGGAAAGTGTGGTTTGAAGAGATTAAGAAATTTGTGGAATCACATACACTTATTATACAGGGCTGAGTGTTCTCAAGTCATGTCCAATAGTCTTTCCAGCACATTACAGATGACCATCTGGCTTCTAGCTTGACTGAAAGAATGGTTCTTGTCCCATTAAATAAGGAAGAGTAAAAAATCTGATCAGGAAGAAGATGTGCTGAAATAAAGAGTTTGTTTTAAGATGTGCTAAGTTCCTAGATATCCATCTTTAGGACTGGATATGGAGATTTGAGAATAATCTGCTAATATGGTAGCTGGATGATGACAGTGATTTAGGAAATAGTAGTGTTGTGGTTTGAATTGTGTACCTGCCGAAGATGCTGCCGTTCTATCACAAGGCACCTATGAGAATGACCTTATTTGGAAGTAATTTTTTCAGATGATCAAGTTGACTTCATGAGGGTAGGGCCCTAATCCAATCTGACCAGTATCCTTATAAAAGAGAGAAATTGGGGACTGAGGATGTAGTTTAGTGGCAGAATGTATGCCTAAGTGTAAGGCCCTAGCTTCAATCCCCAGTAACACACACACACACACACACACACACACAATGATACATGCCTATAATCCCAGTAACTTGGGAGGCTGAGGCTGGAGAATTCCAAGTTCAAGGCCAGCCTCAGCAACTCAGCAAGGCATTAAGCAACTTAGTGAGACCCTATCTCAAAATAAAAAATAAAAAGGGCTGAGCATGTAGCTCAGTGGTAAAACATTCCTGGATTCCATCTCCAGTACCATTAAAAAAATTAAAACAAATAAAGTAATTTAGATACAGAGGTACACACAGAGGAAAAATGATGTAAATACATAAGAAGAATACCATCTTCTGGCCAAGGAATGTCTGAGACTACCAGAAGTGAGGAGAGAGGTATGGAACAAGTTTTCTCTTATGGTCCTCAGAAGAAACAAACCCAGAGACACCCTGACCTTGGACTTCTAGCTTACATAAACCTAAGACAATAAATTTATGTTGCTTAAGTCACTCAGTTTGTGATAATTTATTACATCATTCCTGGGAATCTAGTACATTAGTTTATAGTGACTTTGGAGGGAAGAGTTTAGAAATCCATGAGCAGAAGACAGATAAGGAGCTAAGTAATGAAGCCATGCCTTTTTTTGGTGGCGGGGGGGGGGGGTGGCGCGGATATTGGGGATTGGATTCAGGGACACTTAACCACTGAGCCACATCCTCAGCCCTATTTTGTATTTTACTTAGAGACAGCATCTCACTGAGTTGCTTAGCACCTTGCTTTTGCTGAGGTTGGCTTTGAACTCATGATCCTCTTGCCTCTACTTCAATAGCCATTGGGATTACAGGTCACCTTCTTCTTGGATTCATGGATTTAATACTTGAATTAATTCACAGGAATTCCCTTTGCGTACCTGCCTGAGTCAGTGCTACTGCATACACAAGTTTTTAAAGTGTAGAGATTATGTATATTGTTTTACAGAACCATCCACAGTCTATAAGCAGGTAAGTAATTAATAGAAAATTTTTGCTGGGTGCATTGGTGCATGCCTTTTTTACCAGAGACATGGGAGGCTGGGAAGCTGAGGCAATAGGATCACAAGTTTTAGGCCAGTCTCAGCAATTTAGTGAGACACTACCTCCCAAAACAAAACAAAACAAAAACAAACAAAAAAAGGGTGGGGGGCGGCTGAGGATGTAGCTCAATGGTAGAACACCTCTGTATTCAATTCCCAGAACTGCAAAGAAAAAAAAGAAAACTTTTGATGAAGATGATTAAAGAGTGATACAATATTCCTGGATGAGCAAATCCAGAAAATGAATTTAAATACAGCATTTCCACTCCTTTGTATGCTAATCTACCTCAACTCCTGACACAGGATTTAAAAATTTATGTACAGTTTCATTGAACTTTAAGGGTGCAAGGTTTAAGAACAACGCATATTATAAACCAGCCAACATTTATTTACTTACTTACTATTAAGAATTGGATTCAGGGGTATTCTACTACTGAACTACATCCCAATATTTTATTTTTTATTTTGAGACAGGGGCTTACTAGGTTGCAGAGGTTGGCCTTGAACTTTTGATCCTCCTGGTTCAGCTTTCCAAATAATAGTGAGAATTACAGGCATGTGTCACCATTTTTAAAGGCAGAAACTTCTGGATGATATATTAAGAACAGTCCTTGTTCTAGGACCAATTGCATTGTGAGACTGTCTGAAACAGGACTTAGACTGCTAGGAGCATGATTGCTAAGTCAAAGTTAACACAGACTACTCACTATGATCCTTTTGCTAAAATAGACCCTTTCTGTTCTTCTGCAATCCTCCAAATGTCTGTAACTACTATTAGTTGCTGCTTCTGAAGAATGATGCTAATAATCTATCATGTAGTCTCATCTGGGCTCAATGCCAGTAAAAGCAGTGTTCAAACCCCCTGCGAATCTTTAAGGACTCTGAGCTACATCCCCCTTTTTATTTTTTATTTCAAGACAAGGGACACAGTCTTACAAAATTGCCAAGGACGGCCTTGAACTTGTGATCCTCCTGCCTTAGCATCCTTAGTTGCTGGGATTACAGATGTGTGCCACTGTGCCTGGTGAAAATTAATTTTTGTGCATGTGTGTGTGGTACTGGGGATGGTATTCAGGGCCTCACAAATGCTGACTGTGTGTTCTACCATTGAGATACATCCAGACTTACAAAAACAAACTATTTTTGTGTATCTAGAGCACTATATTATTTCTTAAAAATTTTTACTTTTTGGTGCTACTAGGAGTTGAATCCAAGACCTCGCACATGCTAAGCAAACACTACCACTGAGCTATATCCCCAGTCCTAGAATAAAATATTTTTTAAACTGATGTTTTCACATGTATTTCATATTCTCTTTTCTCTGGTGGTACTGGGTATTGAACTCAGGAGTGCTCTATCATAATTTACATACCCTGCCCTCTATTTCTTTTTAAATTTTGAGACAGAGAGGATCTTGCTAACCTGACCAGTTGGCCTTGTACTTGGGATCATCCTGCTTTGGCCTCCCAAGTAGCTGAGATTACAGGTGTGTAATCTTTTGGCTACTCTCATATTTTTAAATTCGAATTTCCTGGACTAAATCACTAGAAGTGTTAGAGCAATAGTCATGAAATCCATCCTCTAAACAAATGATAAACTTTGATTTCAAAAGCTACATGGCTTGTATTTATTTTACTTAGGATCAGCAAAATATTTAACTTGTGTTCATTCTTACATTACCAGCCCTTCATCAACATTTGACATCAGAGCACAAACAATGACTGCATGAGGCTTTGGCACATTTTATATTCCTTAGCCTTGTCTTTAGTTTTGCTTGTTCTACTACTAACTGAAGGCATTGAGATAATCGATACTCTGATCTCCACCTGAACCACCCAACATTTGATCAGCCAAAGCCAAGAAAGCTGCTGGTGTTGCCTAACAGTTGTTAATTCTAACTGCTAGACATTCTTACATGCCTCATTTTGGCACAAGAGCTGAATGCTCCCCACCTTAACTAATGTTGACTTTCTAACATCTCACCCTACAAATGGTTATTTCTTCCTAGGGATTTATTTTTTATTATTGGGGTAAAACCATTTCTCAGCCTTTTGGCTAAAAGCAAGTGAAATTAGGGTAAGCTGGGGCTGGGGATGTGGCTCAAGTGGTAGTGCGCTTGCCTGGCATGCGTGTGGCCTGGGTTCAATCCTCAGCACCACATACAAACAAAGATGTTGTGTCTGCCGAAAACTAAAAAATAAATGAATATTAAAATTCTCTCTCTCTCTGTAAAAAAAAAAAAAAATTGCTGCAACTGTTTAAAAAAAAAAAAAACGAAATTAGGGTAAGCTGTCTTGATTATGGTCTTATGGTCTGAACTGCTGTACTTTCTGTTAGAGACAACTCAGGGCACATGCCAACACATTTTTACTTTTTCTTTACAGACAAAGGGGAAGAGGAGATGAACATTAGAGAATGCTTTTAAACTTAATCTGAATCTTTATAAACATAATTATAACCTGGGACATCAGGAATTTGACATTTCTTTTCAGAGGAGCTTCAGGGCATGATAGTATCAAGTTGGAGAGTATCATATTAAGCAAAGTAAGCCAATCCCAAAAAAACAAACGCTAATGTTTTCTCTGATATGTGGGGCTAATTCACAATAAGTGGGGGTGGGGTGTTATGGAAGAATAGAGTTACTTTAGGTAGAGGGATGTGAAGGGAGGGGAGGACACATGGGGATAGGAAGGACAGTAGAATGAAACAGACATTATTACCTTATGTACATATATGACATCATGACCAATGTGATTCCACATGTACAATCAGAAAAATAAGAAATTATACCACATTTATGTATAAAATAACAAAGTGCCTAAATGCATTCTACTGTCCTGTATAGCTAATTAGAACAAATAAAAAAATTTACAAAGGAAAAAGCCAACTTATACTCCTAGCTATCTGATTAAATATATTTAAAAACTAGGTTTCCAATAATAAACACATTTAGGGTAGTGTTGCCCTCTAAGGGCAGAAAGGAAAAAGGAGGAGGGGGTGGATACAAGGGTGTTTCAATCATATTTGTAATGTTTGTATTTTTTATAAAGATTGTTACAATTATTTTTATATCTTTTATTTATTTATTTATTTATTTATTTTTTAATATTTATTTTTATGTGGGGCTGAGGATCGAACCCAGCACCTCGCACATACTAGGCGAGTGCTCTGCCACTGAGCCCCAGCCCCAGCCCCTGTATTTTTTATTTTATTTTATTTTTTTAATTGTAGTTGAACACAACACCTTTATTTATTTATTTGTATGTGGCACTGAGGATTGAACCTAGCACCTAGTGTGTCTGTTGAACCTAGCACCTTGTGTGTGCTAAGTGAGTGCTCAACCCCAGCCCATGTATTTTTTGTTTTAAGCTGGTGGTTAGCAAATGAGTTTATAAAAGTTTTTACATTTTTATATTCCTGAATGTTTGAAATACTCTATAATTTTAGAAAAGTTTCCTAAATGACTGCTCCAATAAGACATTTTATTTCTATTAGCTTCCCACTGTTATTTATACTTTTTGTGAAATAAATGGTTATTTTACATAAAGAAAAGCAAGTTCTAGTCTGGGAGTATTACTCAGTGGTAAAGTGGTTGCCTAGCATGGGTAAGACCCTGGGCCCAGCACCTCTGCATTTTCTTTGTAAAAAAATAAATAGCAGGAAGATAGAACGTTATGACACTTTAACATGTGATATTTTGTATAAACTGAATAATCTGACTCCCAACCCAGGTGTGGTGCCTACACCTGAAGTCTGGAAGACTGCTTGAGCTCAGGAGTTTGAAAAAAGCCTGGTCAACATAGAGAGACCCCATCTCAAAAAGTAAATTAACAAAGTAAAAAAAAAAAAAAAAAAAAAAACCAAACCAAAACAAAACTCCAGTTCCTGAAGATTGAGATACACTCTTTCCCTGAATGATGATGATGATTTTATTTTATTTTTTTGGTACTGGGGATTGAACCCAGATACACTTTACCACTGAGCTACATCCCCAATCCTTTTTATTTATTTATTTTTAAATTTTTAGACTGGATCTGAGTTCCTGAGGGCCTAAGTTGCTGAGGATGGCCTTGAACTTGTACTCATCCTGCCTCAGCATCTTGATTCACTGGGATTACAGGTTCTCAAAAGATTAGTAATAGTCACAAAACTTTAAGACAAAAAAAATATCAATATACACCATAGTGTAATGTTGGTGGGAGTAAAGAATACTTATATGGTCTTTTACAATTCACTGGGGATTTTCATTTTTGATCAACATGTCTGCCTTGGCATTATTTCCCCTATCTTGTAATGGTGAGGCAGAAGATCAGAAAGGTCGCCTGGTACAGTGGGGTATGCCAATAATCTCAGCTACTCTGGAGCTGCTGCAGGAAGATCCCAAGCTTAAGGCCAGTTCAGCAATTTAGCAAGACCCTAAGGAATTTAGTGAGACCCTGTCTCAACAGAAAAAATAAAAAAGGCTGGGGTTGTAGCTTGGTGGTAGAATCTAATGCAGTAACATACAAATACACACACACAAATCAGAAAAGTCAAGTAACTTTTCCCAGCCTGAAAAAATAAATAATCATGCTGCTTCTGCTTTATCCTACTACTGGAAAAACTGGCTACGTTTTAGCTTAAGAGAGAAAAAGACAGACAAGCCCATCTGTTATTGATTCTTTTCATGCTGCCAATTCAAACAACCTAAAGCAAAGCCCTCTTACCTGGTGATTCTGCAAGGTGCTCTTGTTTTTCTTCTCTGTCTTGAAATTGAATTAAATGTGACCACAAAGCTGACTTCCCCTGAAAGTAGAAATAAAAATTTTCATTTTAAATAAGTATTTTATGAAAAAATAATTTCTCATCAAGATCATTCACTTTAAATTGGCCATTATGAAGTTTGGTGACCCAAGCTCACTGTATAATTTTTTTTTCCCTCTGTGCTGAGGATTTAACCCAGGGCATTGTACATTATAGGTAAACACTGTACCACTGAGCTACACGCTAAATCCTGTGTGACATTCTGAGCATCTCTTTCCATGTGGGTTTTTGTTGTTGTTGTTATTTGTTTGTTTGTTTTGGGGTACCGGGGATTGAACTCAGGGGCACTCAACCTCTGAGCCACATCCCTAGCCCTATTTTGTATTTTGTTTAGAGACAGGGTCTCACCGAGTTGCTTGGTGCCTCTCCCTTGCTGAGGCTGGCTTTGAACACACAATCCCCGTCTCAATGCCCTCAGTTGCTAGGATTAAGACGTGTGCCACTATACTAGGCTCATTCTATGTGTTTTAAGGGTTATACTTTGCCTTGCTAAGAAGTCTGGTAAGAGTCTGGAAAAGGGAAGGGAAGCAGAAGGCCAGAGGGTGGGTTTGAAGATTTTTTTTTTATGTCAACTCAGCTGTTACTTAGTTATATATAATTAGGAAACATTAATAACTATGGAATTAAAAAACTCCAGGAGTACATAGTGTATTTATATACACCCATATGAAAATGTTTGAAATATGGAGTAGCAATGAGGGAAGAAAATTAGAATGAGAGAAGCAGGGAGTCATAAGAAGAAAAAAAAAATCAGAAATTGGGTATGGTGGTGCACTTCTGTAATCCCAGCAACTCAGGAGACTGAGGCAGGTATATCACAAGTTCTAGGCCAGCCTTGGTTAACTTACCAAGATCCTGTCTCAAAATAAAAAATAAAAAGAGCTAGAAACGTGGCACAGTGGTTAAGCTCCTCTGGGTTCAATTCCCAGTACCAAAACAGACAAACAAAACAAAACAAAAAAACCCAGGTCAAGAAATGTTAATTCTGGGGGCTGGGATGTGGCTCAAGCCGTAGCGCGCTCGCCTGGCATGCGTGCGGCCCGGGTTCGATCCTCAGCACCACATACAAACAAAGATGTTGTGTCCACCGATAACTAAAAAATAAATATTAAAAAAAAAAAAAAAAAGAAATGTTAATTCTGGCTACACCTTTTTCCTGGACAAAAGCAGGACATTTCCTGGATATTAAATGAAATCTACACAGGATAATTGTGCTACTTTATCCTTTCTTGTTTGCCAGGAAAGATACCAAACTATCGCCTGATCACAGGTTGTTTTTTTTTTTTTTCTGGAATTAAAATGCCCATGGCACATTTCTTTCTTTCTTTTTTGTGTGGTACTGAGGATTGAACCCAGGAGTACTTTACCAGGAAGCTATATCCCCAACCTCTTTTTCATTTTGAGACAGTCTTGCTAAGTTGCCAAGGCTGGCCTGGAACTTATGATCTGCCTGCTTCAGTCTCCCAAATTGCTGAGGATTACAGGCTTGCATCTTGCACCACCACTCCTGGTGAAACCCACCTTTTTTTGTGATCCTTTTCTCCTTGTCACTTTTTTTTGCGGGGTGGGGGTTTCTGGGGATTGAACCCAGGAGTGCTTTACCACTAAGACACATCCCCAGCCTTTTTTGAGATATGGTCTTGCTAAATTGCTTAGGAACTCACTAAGCTTCTGAGGCTGGCTTCAAACTTGAGTCCTCCTGCCTGAGGCTCCCAAGGTGCCGGGATTACAGGTATGTGCCATTATACCCAGTTTCTTTTTTTTTTTTTTTTGGTGATACTGGGTACTGAATCCAGGGCCTCCTGAATGCTAGACAAATACTCTACCTCTGAACTACATCTTCAGTCCTTTTTTCAATTATTTTGAGACAGGGTCTCACTAAATTGCTGAGGTTGGCCTTGAATTTGTCATTCTCCTGCTTTAGCCTCTTGAGTAGCTGGGATTACAGACATGTGACACCATGCCAGGCTTTCCCTGTTATATTTCTTTCTTTCTTTTTTTTTAATTTTAATATTTATTTTTTAGTTTTCGGCGGACACAACATCTTTGTTTGTATGTGGTGCTGAGGATCAAACCCAGGCCGCACGCATGCCAGGCGAGCGCGCTACAGCTTGAGCCACATCCCCAGCCCTCCTGTTATATTTCTTAACAGGGCTCCTAAATGACCATGACACCAGTACTTTCTGAGACTGTTACCTGTTTGACCTGTAGGCCATGGCTCCATATCCTCTCTAGTAGGTCACAGAGGCTGGCAATCAAGGTATTCTCTTCCAAGCCAGTGATGTTTGCTTCTCCATGGCCCAGCTCCACTGCTTCATGTCCCATCTTTTCTACCAACATGCGTTTTGTCTGAAAACATCATGAGTATGCATAAATTACTCAGGCAGCAAAACCAAAAACTAGGGTTAGGAGATTACTGGGTTAGGAGAACTGGCTTTTTTTTATTATATGTCTTTTGTTTTTGTTGTTATTACTGGGGATTTAACCCAGAGGCCCTGTACCACTGGGCTATATTCCAAGCTCTTTTTATTTTGAGACAGGGTCCTGCTAAATTGCCATGTCTGGCCTTGGACTTGGGATTCTTTTGTATCAGTCTCCCAAGTCCCAAGGGATTACAGGTGCATGCTACTATGCCCAGCTTTTTATTATACTTCTAATTGGAAATGGAAGGTCACTAAAAAGAGAATAACCTAATATTTATCAAGCATCCCCATATTGAAAAAGTGTTTTTATACAACAATTTTCAGATTATTCACTTCTGTGACACTGGGAAATTACACTAGACCTAGAAAAATGTACTGTTGAAACTGGAATCACAACCTATCACTAAAATTTGCCCTCCCACTGACTCTAGCACTTGGTATACTAAAGCTATTTGTACTCAGTTTAGTTGCATTTAGGCAAAAACCACAACAGAAATGGGCAGTTCTAAGATTCTGCAGAACTTCCTAATTTGTGCATAAACCAGAAATATATTTTCCCTTCTCTTTTCTCTCTTCTCTGATTATATATACACAAAGAAAATGGAAAGAAAATGGGAATCACTTTTAGGTAATTAATTTACACCAAATTTAGCTGCTTTTGTAAGTTGTAAAATGAGAAAGAATCTAGTCCCTTTAGGCAGGGACCTTGTCTTCAATTCACCACTATATTCTGATGTTGAAAACAGTGCATTTAGGGACAGATTCAAACTAAAAAGCTTCTTCTCAGCAAAAGAAACAATCAGTGAGGTGAACAGAAAGCCTACAGAATGGGAGCAAATTTTTACCACACGCACATCAGAGAGAGCACTAATCTCTAGGATATATAAAGAACTCAAAAATCTTTTAAATACTTATTTCTTAGTTTTGGGTGGACACAATATCTTCAGTAAGATCAGCAAACTTATGTGGTGCTGAGGACTGAACCCAGTACCTTGTGCATGCGAGGCGAGTACTCTACCACTGAGCCAAACCCCAGCCCTCAAAAATCTTAACACCAAAAAATAACAATAATCCAGTCAATAAATGGGCCAAGGAAATGAATAGACACTTCTCAGAAGATGATATACAATCAATCAACAAATATATAAAAAATGTTCAACATCTCTAGCAATTAGAGAAATGCAAATCAAAACTACTCTAAGATTTCATCTCACTCCAGTCAGAATGGCAGCTATTAAAAATATAAACAACAACAAGTGTTGGTGAGGATGTGGGGAAAAAGCACACTCATACATTGCTGGCGGGACTGCAAATTGGTGCAGCCACTCTGGTAAGCATTATGGAGATTCCTTGAAAAACTGGGAATGGAACCACCATTTGACCCAGCTATCCCGATCCTCGGTTTATACCCAAAGGACTTGAAATCAGCATACTACAAGGACACATCCACATCAATGTTTACAGCAGCTCAATTCACAATAGCTAAACAGTGGAACCAACCTAGATGCCCTTCAGTAGATGAATGGATAAAGAAACTGTGGTAAATATACACAATGGAACATTACTCATCATTAAAATAGAGAATAAAATCATGGCATTTGCAGGTAAATGGATGGAGTTGGAGAATATTATGCTAAGTGAAGTAAGCTAATCCCCAAAAACCAAATGCTGAATGTTTTCTCTGATATGAGGATGCTGATCCATAATGGGGATGGCGGGGTATGGGGGGGAAGCATCGGAAGAATGGAGGAACTTTAGATAGGGCTAAGGGAGAAAGGGGAAGGGAGGGGGCAGGGGGGTAGGAAAGATGGTGGAGTGAGATGGACATCATTACCCCAAGTACAGGTATGAAGACACAAATGGTGTGACTCTACTTTATGTATGACCAGAGACATGAAAAGTTGTGCTCTATGTGTGTACTATGAATTGAAATGCATTCTGCTGTCATATATAACAAATTAGAATGAATGATGAATAAAAAAAATAAAATAGTGCATTTATTGAATATACAGAGAAAGTACTCAAGAAATAACACTGAATAAAATTACTAGCTAAAATGACATTCTGAGTTTTGTCAGTTTGTACTGCTAAGTCATATAAACTCAGGCATCCAAGAGGAAACTGGGGTATAATACACTAACCAACAATACGACTGAATTTTTTTTCTCCTTATGGATGTACATATGAATGTATGGGTGCAGACAAGGAGGTACACAGGTGCACACACAAACAAAAAAGTTCTGCCTTTTACATAAGATGACAACATTCCTGACACAACTTGTGAATGGCTTAACATCTATTTATATTGAAGTAGAGGAAGACAATAACTAAAAAGATGAGAAACTATGCCGGGCTCCCATGTCACTGATGCTGTGAGCCATGGGAAAGTCCATGGAGGTTCAGGACCTCAGAGAAGGACACCTGAGGGCTATGCTACTGGAAAAGTTTTGTTTTAGGAAACTATAGGCATGAATGAGGGTTGACTCAGCTCATTTAGCCCCACACATGGTGTGAATATGAATGAGTACTGTGTGGCATTAGTAATACATACCTTCATTCTACATTCTTTTAATAAGCCTTCTACAAATTTCCAGTTGGTCTGTGCAATCACTGCAGGAGAAAGGTCTGACAATTTGGGCTGCCTCAGATTTTTTCCTAAACTTCGTGCCTCTTGCATGTATTTCTAAAAATTAAGAGTATTTTAAAAAAACATTAACATAAGATTTTTTTCTATTCTACTTAACCTTATACAAACAAATGCAGGAACAAACAAGTTGCAAAAAGGCAGTAAGTATGTGTGCAACAATTAAAGCTTTAGTGCACTAAAAGGCAGAGGACGTTTGTACTCCCATCACAACCTGTTAATGCCTGTGAAAATGAGGGTAACAGAGACCTCATCAGATTAAAACTCATTCAAAGTGATATGGAGTTTCATTTAGTTTACTCTTTTTATTGTGACTATCCAAAGTGTGATTAGTGAGGATCACAGAACAAAAAAATTGAGGTGTTTGGATTACAAGTCTAGGTTCTACAGGAGTGCAGTGGTTCTCGTATCACTGGCTTCCTCCACTCCTCCATACAACAAAAAGACTTCATTTACCTGTACTGTTTTGGACAGTGCTCTCCAGCTCAACTTGCTGTTCTAATCAAGTCACAACAGTAAAATCAGGAGCTCTAGAATCATGTTGCAACTAATTGTAAGACCTCAGGCATATCAACTAATGTTCCTGTATCTCAGCTTGTTAAATGGGCATAAAACAAGTGCACCAAGGTAAAAAACAAACAAAAAAAAGCTGTAAAATCACGGGGAAAAGGATGTGTGCTTCAAATACAAGGTCTCTTCTTTCTGTGAAGTTTGCTAAAGCCCTCCCTTGCCTTGTTCTACAATCATAAAAGAGTGGGATTATACTGTTAAGTTTAGAGTCTATGGTGATTTGGAAGTACCACAGAAACCCAACACAATGCTCTTGAACTCTGGTTAATAAATTTTCATCCAAAAAAAAAAAACAAAAACAAAACTACACAACTAGTGTAGAACATGTGCACACTATGTTGCCTTCTTTCTATGCTATCTGAAAAACTCCCATCTACATATCTCATGTTTGTATCAGAATCACAGGGCAGAATTTCCAAAAGACCCAAGTGTTTTGGGACCATATTTAGAGAATAGCTAGACTAAATTATATAGTAAAACTAGTAGTTTGCTGCAGGGAGAGTGAGCAAGATAGTGGTTGCAAGCCAGCATATCCACACATCCTCCCATGGGCACATATGTGACAGCAATCCTTACTATATTAAGGGGAGAATGTTTTTTTGTACCAGGAATTGAACTCAGGGGCACTCAACCATTGAGCCACATCCCAGCTCTATTTTATGTTTTATTTAGAGACAGAATCTCACTGAGTTGCTCAGCGCTTCACTTTTGCTGAGGCTGGCTTTGAACTCGTGATCCTCCTGTCTCAGACTCCTCAGCCACTGGGAATACAGGTGTGTGCCACCACGCCCAGCTGGGGAGAATTTAATATGATAAAAGAAGATGTGTATAATCCTTTGAGTTCTTTAAATGTAAGAGTTTGTAGGTTTGATATATTTCCCCTTTGGAAGAAAATGAATCTAGTATATATGATAAAAATATTTAAAAAATCCCACTGATTAATAAAATAATGTTTCCTTTTCCCACTAATTATTTTAAGAAAGATTTAAAAATCAAATGAATTCTGCAAGCATTTAGTTCCCACAGCACTGATATATATATATATATATATATATATATTTTTTTTTTTTTTTTAAAGAATTTTTTTTTTTAATATTTATTTTTTAGTATTTGGCGGACACAACATCTTTGTCTGTATGTGGTGCTGAGGATCGAACCCGGGCCGCACGCATGCCAGGCGAGCACGCTACCGCTTGAGCCACATCCCCAGCCCCAGCACTGATATATATTTTTTGCTTCAAATATTTTTGAGACGGTCAAAAAAAAAAAGGGAAAATTGAGAATGAGAGAATTGTTATCAGAGAAGTTAAATACATAAAACAAGGTATATGGAGATATACTGAAACAAATAAATAAATAAATAAATATAGCAAATGAAAGCAGTTTCAGAATAATCAACCTGAGACACAGGGCATGAACCCTGTGTAAGAATTATATTTGCATTTTCTATTGTTAATTGGAATACGTATTAAAATGAGTAGAAGGTTGGTAAAAACAAATGTTAACTGTTAAAATTTAAAGAATCCTTTCCCAACCCCCAGAGTTCATAGCTAATTCTTAGGATTTTTGTGTTAATAATAACGTTCAATATTTCTATCCTTACGCAAATATAGAGAGAACCATTCTAAAGAAGTGTTAAGTACTAAACTAGCTAAGGATGAAATACACCAGCTAGAAGAAAGGGAATGAGAACATGGTCAGGTAAGAGGCTGGGAAAAAGCCTCCAGCATTTCTTTTTCCTGAAATATATTTAAAAATTCTGGAATAAATCTAAATTAAGCACTATTAATTTATGTGTTGTTTTATATAAAAGAACACAAGACAGATGGGGGCTATTCTTTGAGTGACTATGTCTCTGAGCATCCAGCACATGGGGTAGGTGTACATATTAGTCAACAGTGGGCCTCATACAGCCATTTGCAAAATCTCCTTCTGGAGCCACAGAATTAGCCACACCCCATGGATCTACAAAGAAAGGATACAGGGATGCCAAGAGGCCTCTTCTCATAGCAAGAAGGGAGGCTATTTCTGCAATTCAAAAACAGAAAACATCTTTAAAGTAAATGAATGATAATAAAAATAGCAGCTGGAAAAAGATTTTGTTTTTTATTAACAGCGATTAAACTCAGGGTACTCAACCACTGAGCCATATCCCCAGTTCTTTATACTTTTTATTTTGAGACAGGGTCTCACTGAGTTGCTTAGGGCCTTGCTAAGTTGCTGAAGCTGGCTTTGAACTTTAGATCCTCTTGCTTCAGCCTCTTGAACAGCTAGGATTACAGGCGTGCGCCACTCTGTCTGCTTATGTATTTTGATGTATTTTGAGATGAAAATAGAGAAGAAAGAAACTTTTCACAAGGAATGTTTTTATTATAAAATCGGTTTCTCTATGGGGGAAAGAAATTCCAGATTTCTTTGGGATTCCTATTGTGCTTTTTAATTTTGTCAAACACAAGCAAAAAGCTGCTAGGAAATACCTAATGAAAACATATCCTATTATTCAATAAACATCAAACTAAGTGTCTTTCTTCCTTCTTAATTTTGGTACTGTCAATTCCAGGGGTGCTCTACTACTGAACTTCATTCCCAGCTCTTTTTTTAAGTTTTATTTTGAGACAGGGTCTTGCCAAGTTGCCAGGGCTGGCTTCTAATTTGCAATCTTCCTGCTTCAATCTCCTGAGTCACTGGGATTACAGGCATGAGCCGCTGTGCCTGGCTATTGTTTTTTTTTTTTTTTTTTTTTAATTAGATATTTATGGTTATATGCAGTAGTTGGGTTCATCCCAACATACTCAGACCTAAGTGTTCTTTAGTACATGCTTTCCTTAAATTTTCTAATAAACAAACACTCTATCCTTTTAATTGGTGCTGAACTAATGAAAAGAAGACCATTGTTAAATTAAATAAATCTAAACTCATGAAATAATGTGGAAAAAAATACAAGCAAGAGTCCTAAATTACTTGTGCCCTCAGGTGAATTGTGGTTAGTGCATCCTGGTGTGTGTGGTTAATGGAAAGAGACTCCTGGCCTGAATGTCAGAAGTCCTGGGCTAGATGCCTAGCTGTGCCCCTTTTAGTCAAATTATGTCAAGTGGATAAGCCAACCTCAAATATGACCCTTCACACTAAAATTCTGTATTGATGACTGAATTTTCTGACAACATATAGACCAGGAAAGTAAATCAATTTAATTCTGTGGAGATAAAGTCTAGAAAAAGAAAAGCTGAAATTCAATCACTTCTGCACTTCTGGAAAATACTTACACGAGAATCTGTATTTAAATTTTACATGTATATATGTGTACATATGTGTGTGTGTGTATTTTTTTTCTTCTTTTTTTGTATAGGTGAGTGAATCCAGGGGTACATAACTACTGAGCCATATCTCCAGCCCTTTTTTGTATTTTATTTAGAGGCAGGGTCTCACTGAGTTACTCAGGGCCTTGCTAAATTGCCGAGGCTGCCTTTGACTGGTGATTCTCCTACTTCAGCCTTCCAAGCTGTTGGGATTACAAGTGTGTGCCACCACAATTTCCAATATAATTTCAAAAAACTTTCCACTGACTAGGGATTTGAATAATCAGTTCTACTATTAATAGGACAGAATTACTTGTATTGGCACACACCAGTACAAAAAGGCACCAAACACAAGAGAAAGCAGAGAGCGAAATGGAGAGGCTGAGAGTTTACTTCACAAAGTGATGTGAGGCATTCTAGAACTATGTGCACTCACACGTGTATCATTTCAAGCAACACCAAAGACAAAATTTGGGAACATTTGGTGAAGCACTTTCAGGCAAAGGACATACCAGGCAGCACTCAGAGAAGGACTTTTTAGGAAGCCGTGCAGGAGGAGGTGGGCCCTGATCCCACTCCCAGAATGCCATGGAGTTCTGACAGACCAAAAGTTCCCCGGAAGGCTAAGAGGATGGAATAGTGCCAGTGATAGAAAAGCGAAAAAAAAAAAAAAGAAAAAAAAAAGGATGGGGGGAGAGAGACAAGCAAAACAAGCATGCATATGATAAAATCATAGCAAAAGAGAGGGGGAAAGAAGAAAATACAGTAGCAAAAGAAAAGCACAGAACAGGAGATGCTTCAGTTCTTAAGAAAATGTTTAATTTAATCACATATGTATGAACACACCAACAAAAAGTGACAGATGTTTGGAACGACTGTTTTCTGCTTAGTTTAAAAAAAATAGTTAACAGGTTTGCTGATTGCATTTTTCTTTTGATCACAGAAAGAGTCAAAACTTACATTATTCAAATGTATAATACAGTTTTATTTTCAAAGACTACAAACAAAACCTTTGGATCTTAATTTAAAAGTAGTTTAAACACTTTTATGGTGGTGTCACTAAGCCAGGGACAAAGCATACATCTTTACTTACTAAATTTAAATTATATTTGAAATTTAGAAATGTCTGTTTCTGGCAATTTTTTTTCTCTATAGGAGACCAAATGACCAAAAATATAACCTAAACACAGTCTTACTTGATGTAACACACAAAAGACTTCTCTTAGTGCCCTATTTCAGATGTATGGAAATTACAAATATGGAAAAAAGGTATTTTCTGGTACAAGTCAGTACAAAATGATTAATATTTTAAAATATAACTGAACTGTTTTTTTAAAAGAACATGAAAGAATTTGCATAATGACACCTGCTGGCTTATTAAGCCTAGTTCCTGGCTCTTGCATCCTGACACAACAGGCAGGCAGCCCACATACCTCCCTCAAGTCGTTGTCCAGTCCAATGTGCTCGGAATGCTGGCGAAGGCGCTCTTTCCTGCGCTGTGTGGTGGCGCTCCGACTTACCCAGCGACTGAAAAAATAACCACACCCCAGAGGGTATAGATTAAGACAACAAGCTAAATAAAAACATGTGGTCTTTATCTTTAAAATAAAAATAATGAATTGTTCCACACAGCTGATGATAATTGTTTTTAAATTAATTCTTTAAAAACATATAATAGGTTTAAGATACAATTAAAATACCATAAGATTTACCTATTTAAAGAATACAATGCAATGGTTTTGCTATATTCACAGATAATATACAACCATTATCACAATCAATGCTTTTTAACAACTGAGGTTAAAAAGGGATCAAGGGTCAAAAGGGTTGGGGGTGTAGCTCAATCATAGCACTTGCCATTTGCCTAGCATGTATAAGGCCTTTGGTCTGAGTCCCAATACAACAACAAAAAAGAGTCAGTACATGTTAGACATATATATATATATACACACACACAATGACAAATCTGTTCTTACTTGAGTCTTTGACTATGTTAAACATATAAGAGATGCCTCTGTGTACTCAAAGTAAATATTACAGGTATTTTTTTAATACAAAGGAGAATATTCTCATTTCAAAATTTATAATTATTTAATTCTAGTGTTCTAAAAGAACAAAAGAAATTCATGAGATTAACCTTTTTAAAGGAATAGCTTCCTTTTTATTTTTTTGTTTTTAATTTAAATTTTTTCTTTTCCTTTATTTTTTTTTAAAGGAACAGCTTTCTAAAATTAAGATTCCAAGAAATAAGAAGTGAGCCCTCATCTCTAAAGTCTAAGAGTTAGATTAAATGACCACTGTTATTCCTTATAGCTACAAAATTGTATGACTGTGTTTCTGTGAAAAGGCAGGCTGTATTTATCAGATATCTCGGGAAAATTATATATGTGTGTGTGTCTATACATACACACACACACACACACACACTCAATACCAAAATGGGCAGAAAAATGCGTTGGAAATAAAATCTAAACTCTTTCCCATGGCCTCTAAAATTAAACAGCCAGGCCTTTCTTTCTGACCTTACCTCATGTCACTTTCCCCTCAACTGACCAATTTTTAATATAGTGATTTTCATTCTGTTACTAAATGCTTTATTAATAAAATTAATGCTAGTTCTATAATAGTTTCCTCTGGTACTGAATTGTTGGTATCCAAATTGTATTTCAGTTTTAATACTCTAATTTTATTACCTTTGCTTTTAGTTAATAATGATTTAACAATTAACATGTTCTGGGTGGTGTGAGCATCTTAAAGAAATATTATAATGTTTCCCTTATTCAAAGGTACTTTTGTGGCCACTCTAGCTATCTAAAGACTATAGATCAGTTTATAAAATGCAAAATACGCAGCTATATCATCCTCAATCTTTTACCTCAATCATCTTTATTCAGAGAAGAATTTGGAACATGGCCAAGTTTTCTTTCCAACAAGGGAAAACACAAAGACTACAGGGACAACCTAACCTTACAATTCTGAAAGTCCCCTGAATCAAAATAACTTTGCTCCCACTCCAATTTAACCAAAACCAGAACATCATACTAAATAAAGTGACCATCCAAGACTCTTGCACCTCAGAAATCTTAACCTCTACTATCTTACCATCTCTTGTTACATTAGTTCTTCCTTGCCTTGATTCCCAAGTAGAACCCCTTTTGTGTTTTCTCTTCTTTCTGTTCTGAGCCTAAATCCTTGGGGAAAGCACCTAAACTTCTCCACACTAACACCCTCTCCTCTGTAATGATCATTTCCTTTCTATTTAACCTACTGGAGGGAGCCTCAAATCCTGAATGAATGCTATTGTTATGGTTTACACTTGAGGCGTACCCTAAAAGCTCATGTAGCTCATCTGTGAGACAATGAAAAAAGTTTAGAGTTGAAATGATTGGTTTATGAGAGCCTTAACCTAATCAGTGCATTAATCTATTTTAATTGATTAACTGGGTGGTAATTCTTGGCAGGTCAGTGTGGCTGGAGGACTTACATCACTAAGGGCATGCCCTTGTGATATATTTTTCTCCTAGTGAACAGAGAACTCTCTTTCTGCTTCCTGATTGTCATATACTGAGCTGCTTTTCTCTACTACTCCCTTCCGCCATGATGTCCTGCCTTATCTCTGGCCCAGAGCAAAGAAGTAAGCCATCTATGGACTGTAACCTCTGAAACAATGAGCCCCAAATAAAATTTATTCCTTTTATGTTGGTCTTGTCAGGTCTTTTGATCACAGCAAAGAAAAAGCTAACTAAAACAACTATCCTTACTTCCCTATTCCCTAGTCTCATATTAGTTTGTTGATTTCCTAAATGAATTCCCATAAATCATTATGTCTGCTCTTTATTAATTAATTATCTCTTATCCCCCTCAAAGACTATTGTACAACTTTTCATTTCATCTAAGTACCACCTCTCAATTGATCAAAGTAACATAAAATCTAATTCTTTTTTTTTCGGGTACAAGGGATTGAACTCAGGGGCACTCGACCACTGAGCCACATCCCCTGCCCTATTTTATATTTTATTTAGACACAGGATCTCACTGAGTTGCTTAGTTTTTGCTGAGGCTGGCTTGGAACTCATGGTCCTCCTGCCTCAGTCTCAGGAGCCGCTGGGATTAGAGGCATGTGCCACTGCACCTAGCCACAAAATCTATTTTCTTTTTAACACAAAATCTAAAACTTATTTTTAGAACAACTAAACCACATAAATAGCTGTTGAATTTATACAATATAAGGGAAGTGATGAACATATATTAAGAAACAAAATGTATAAAGTACTAGATGTAGATCTTTGACATAAGAGTTCTTGACAATAGCCCTGAAGCAAAAAAGGTCAGTCTAAGACAATAAAATTTGTTTAGGGATTAAAACAATTAAGGCTAAACTGGGTGTGGTAGCATATGTCTATAATCTCGGATATTGAGGAGGTTGAGGAAGAAGAATTGAAAGTTTAAGGCGAGCTCAGGCAATTTAGAAAGATCCTGTCTCAAAATAAAATTGAAAAAAAAGTTGGGGGAGGGGGCTGAGTGTGTGGCTCAATGGTACAGCACTTGTCTTGCATGTGCAAGGCCCTGGGTTTGATCTCTAGCACTGAAAAAAAAAAATAGGGCTAGGGGGCAGGGTAGTCCAAATAAAATAAAAATATGAAACAATATAAATACTAGCTAATAAACTTAAAATGAAGAAGCAAAATGTAAATGGTAGAACATTTTCCTTGGTAAGCAAAAGTGGAAAAGGCTTTAGGAAAACAAAATTATAAAGATTAACCTATATAATATAACTAGCTCTTACTATGAGCTCTGAGGGACAAAAATGTCCTACTTAACTTTGTTTTTAAAATGGGGAAATAAGCACTGCTTAAGAAAATTATTATAAAGTCCAGACATTCCTGGTCTTAAGTAATTTATTCATTCCTTGCATTATTAAGCATTTTTAAAAAATATTAAAAAAAAATTTTTAGTTGTAGTTAGACATAATACCTTTGTTTTATTTATTTTTATGTGGTGCTGAGGATCGAACCTAGGACCTTGCACACACTAGGCGAGCGGTCTACTGCTGAGCCACGACCAGAGCCCATATTAAACATTTGTTAGTAAGTATAATTTTACCACTGATGATCACAATTGCTGAAATACTTAAGACCGCTTGTTTCTGTCTTGGAAATAGTATATTAAATTCTAACAAATATTACTATATATTCATCCATCCAAATAAATCTCTTATACTCCAATACATACATTGGTACAGTACTTATTAAACTAAACCAAATGTTATCAGCACACATTACAAAGATAATTTACTGTTTTCCTCTTTCTTGACCAATAGAATCATGATAAGCATCTTGGGGAATAAAAACAAAAACTTCTGCAACACAGTTCAGCAGATCATCTGATAGGTAGAAACACCACTTGTTTCACTACCTGCCTTCTGAAAATTCAGGTGGCAGTGCCACTTCATTGTGAGTACCTAGTTTTTTCTTTCTGGAACTGTGGATTGAACCCAGGGTTCAAACACTAAGCCACATTCCCAACCCTTTTTATTTTGAGAGGAGGGTCTTGCTAAATTGCTGAGGTTGGCTTTGAATTTATGATCCTCCTGCCTTTTCCTCCCAAATTGCTGGGATTATAGGGGGGATTACAGGTGTGCACTACCACACCCAGCTGTACCTAGTTTTTTACTTCAGTCTTCTATCCCATTTTTTCCCACTGCTTGGCTCCTTTATACTTTATTTCTGAGCCTCTTTAATAAGGAGATCACAGATGCTGTAGAAGTATAGAATATTTTCACATGAGAAAAGTGGCAAATAATTTCAGTTCCTCCAAGGTTCCCAAGCTGAAGAATGAAGTCAACATACTTTATATACAAACAGAGATACATGTCGTATATGTATGTATTAAGAATTATAATGCAAAAAAAAAAAAAGAAAAAGAAAAAGAAAAAAGAACAGTGTTACCTTAGATTAGGGTAGAGGGAAGTGAAAGAAGGGGAAGGCAGAGGATGTGGGGATAAGAAAGACAGTAGAATAAAACAGACATCATTACTTTATGTATGTATGTGACTGTATGACCAATGTGATTCTATAATAAGCATACTCAGAAGAATGAGAAATTATATCCCACTATGTATATGATATATCGAAGTATTCAAGTGCATTCTACTGCCATATATAACTAATTAAAAAAAATAAAAAATTTAAAAAATGAAGTAAATTCTAATACTGCTATTTCAATTCAATGCTCACTCTTTCCAACTTATAGCATATCTATTAATATTCTTTTCTTCCTTTCTTCTAAACCTCTTATTATTCACTTGATAATAAAATAATAGTATTCACTTATAATCAAGAACTTACCTAACCCAAATATTATAATTGTTTTCAGTTCTTTTTTTTTTTTTGGCAGTGCTGAGGCTCAATCTCAGGGTTTCACACATACGAGGCAAGTACCACTGAGTATACCTCAAGCCTTCTTCTTTTTTTTTTTTTAAACCTTTTTTTAGTTGTAGATGGACACAATACCTTTATTTTATTTATTTTTAATGTATTTTTTTTATGTGGTGCCTGGGATCAAATCCAGTGCCTCACGCATACTAGGCAAGCGCTCTACCACCAAGCCACAACCTCGGCCCTCAAGCCTTCTTTTTAAAATTCTAACTATATTTAGATATTTTCTGAATGGTCTCATCTACCATAAATGATAGGGTTTATCTTAATTTTTGCTTTGTAATTTTTTTGTACTTGATACCAAAAGATGGTATATGAACTAAATCATGTTCCCCACAATGGTATGCTGAAGTCTTAATCCTGGGTACCTACGAAATGACTATATTTGGAAATAAGTCTTTGCAGATGTAATCAAGTTAAGATAAGGTCATTAAGGAGTGCCCCAATTGCATGTGACTGGTGTCCTTATAAGAGGAGGAAAATATGGATACAAACATAGAAAGAAGGTGAACATGAGAAGACAGAGACTGGGGTTATGTTATTACGAGCCAAGGAGCTACTGGGGCTACCAAAAGGTGGTAGAGGGGCTGGGATTGTGGCTCAGTTGGTTTTGTGCTTGCCGGGCATGTGTGAGGCCCTGGGTTCAATCCCCAGCCCTGGGGGACTGGTAAGCAGGTAGGTGGAGTAGAAGGGTGTGGAAAGTAATAATCATCCCCTAAGAGTCCTGGGAGGTGGCAATAATCCTGCCAAAAACTTGATTTCAGACTTCTAGCTTCCAGAACTGTGAAATCCACTAAATTTGTAGTATTTTGTTATGGCAGTCTAAAGAAACTAATATTTAGATGGTAAAGGTACAACTTTTAAAAATTCCGTTAGATTGTATTAGCATTATATGTAAACAGACATTTAAAGTGTGGTCCAGGGTTTATAGAAAAAAAAAAAGGTATTCACTAGTACACTGTTCTTTTAAAAAAAATATTTATTTTTTAGTTGTAGTTGAACACAATACCTTTATTTCACTTATTTATTTTTATGTGGTGCTGAGGATCAAACCCAAAGTCTCGCATGTGCGAGGCGAGCACTCTACTGCTGAGCCACAACCCCAGCCCACTAGTACACACTGTTCTTTGGGTGAAAAAAAGCCACCAAAATAGATTAATGTGATTTTGAAAAGAAGCCATCACATAGATAGAGTTTAATGGTGACAGGCTGCTTTAATCAGAGTTGCAAAACATCCCACCTTTCATCAACTAGTTAATTAAAAAAGGTGCTTACTTGTTATTGGTTGGTCCTGTTGCCAAGACATCAGACTGTAACTTTGGAAAGAACCCTTGCTCATATTTGCCTTGACCAATTTTCATATCAAGTAGATGTGGGTGGATTGCAGTGTGATCCATTTTCATCAGTCTTTGCTCAATTGATTGGGCTATAAGTTAAATATGTAACAGATTAGAGATATTTTATTGCTAAACCTTCAAAAATAATGCTTCTTCAACTCATGCACATAGAGAATTCAATCATACTGACACTGTGAAACAGTTTTACCAATCCTCTTCAGAAATCATATCACATATATATAGAAAGGTTAATTTTAAATAAACATTAGATGATTAATTTTCATTACTTTCTTTGTCAAAAGTATGGTAGCTGGGTTGAAAAATCTGTAATTTAGTACTTAAACAATTTTATTAAAGTGGGATATTTAATATGCTTAACAAAAATGATTCTAGGTACAACATTAAAGAAAATATTGGCAAATAAAGTATTTTCTTGAGCTGAAAGACAACGTAAAGGGAAGGAAGATGCAAGTATAGTAAGTAGTCTTGTTACTTTCTTTGTGTAAAGACTCATTAAATATTCATGGTTCTCCATCAATAACAACAAGGAACTGTGTGAAGTTTATTACCTCACTTTTAGCAACATTCACATTCTTCATTAGTAAGAGTGATTTAGGAATGTTTATTAGATCAAGAAGGTAAAGCAGAGAAGTCAAATAAGCAGGCATTTAGAAAATGTCCAGAGAATAAGAAATTGTCCTTTTGGAGAATTAAAATAGGTCAAAATTAAAAGACAGGAATTATTCAACACTGTTGTAAAACACTTTAAATTTAGTAGTGTTGGAGAAAGTCTCAAAGACTCATAAAATAGAAAGTAATCTATTTTTACTGGTAAAACAAACAAAATCCTGATTTTTCTACCATTGAGCTATATCCCTAACCCATTTAAAAAAATATGTATCTTTTAGTTTTAGGTGGACATAATATCTTTATTTTTATGTAGTACTGAAGATTGAACCCAGTGCCTCATGCACGCTAGGTGAGCACTCTACCACTGAGCCACCCAGCACCCTAGCCCATTTTTTGAATTTTGAAAAAGGGTCTTGATAAGTTGCCAAGGCTGGATTCAAACTTGCTATCCTCCTGCCTCAGCCTCCCAAGTAAGCTGGGACAATCCTGATCTTAAGTGTTTTTATCAACTGAATCTTCAAGAGAAAATATAAGAGATTAGGTCTCCAATCCTTTCATTAGAGATCACTAAAAAGTGATAATATGCAGTAACTGTGGCTGTGTGATAACTAGAGCAGACTATGGGAACTGCTGATCTTGTGACTTACAAAAACTAATAAGGTAACTAATAAGGTATTTCATAGAATTCATTTACTTTCCCCCTTTTCATTGCCAGTAGACTGAGTCCTGCTGGTTATTCCCCAAACATATTCTAAACTTTTTTTTTGGAGAGGAATTCATCTATGACACTTTGCATTCTTGTCAAAATAATACGCTTATTGCCACTGGCTCTACTTAAGCCAATTACTGGTGTTTATAGTTGTACTGGGATGCTGTATTGAAGTTAACTACTGCTCTCCATTGTTTAAACTTCAAAATATTAGACATTTACTTTAAGCTTCTCTAATTTTCCCTCACAAAAAGTATGAATTTATTCAAAACCTTGAATTGCACTGTTTTTTTTTTTTTTTGGTGGTGGAGTACCGGGGATTGAACTCAGGGGCACTTGGCCACTGAGCCACATCCCTGCTCTATTTTGTTACTTTCTGCAATGTTACTTTTCAGTGATTATATAGCCAGTGAATACTGAACATTCACAAATTATCAAATGCCTGCTTTGAGAGGTCAGGTTCTGTTGTTAGACTTTTAAAGATTTGTGCCAATACTGATTTGCAGTGGTTGGTAAAGAAAAAAAAAAACTGTATTACTATCCACTTCTTGTCTTTCTGCACAGAGATCATGAGGTTCTGGTGCCACAATATCAACAGCAGATAGCCTGTGCCTAAAGAGTTCACCTGCAAATCAAATTCTTTTTGGTTAGAGGCAAAACAATAGCAAAAGTATCCACATGTACGTGTACACACACACACACCGTCAAAGCCAAAAAACAGAATGAAACCTTAATACCCAATAAAAAATCAATGTCAACAATACCCCAATCTCAATTTGGGGGATGAGAACAATTTTACCTGATAAAGAAGTAACTGCACCATTTACGAGAGATTAGCAGTTATAGTCAGCTGTCTTTTACCTTTTAAAAAAAATTCTGATAAATTAAATTCCTGGGAGACTACTGCCTCAGCCTAATCTAGTTTTCATATATATGAAGTCTACAATACTACATTTTCAAAAGAGTTTTACGTAATTTCTGTGATGACAGTGGGAGTGCCAAATTCTGAGAGATTCTATTTTAATGAAATTCTGTTTTAATTGGATTTTTTAGAAGGACATAAATTAAGGAATTGGTGCTTAATTCCATTAAAAAAAATATATATATATAAATTGCATATATTTAGTTGTAGTGGACACAATTATCTTTATTTATTTATTTATTTTTATGTGGTGCTGAGGATCAAACCCAGTACCTCACACATATGAGAGAAGTACTCTACCACTGAGCCACAACCCCAGGCCTATTTTAAAAGTTGTGTCAGTAAGAGAAGAAAGAGATTTGTTCAATAATTACATTTTGACATGGCTATTAAAACAATGGAAGTCATAATATTCTTTGGATAAGCATAGACAATTTCATTCTACCTCAATTTCTAGGAACACAGAGGTAATTGCTATTTTCTGAGGGGCTTCCAAGGATCTACCCTTATACATGGGAATATAACAGGGTGATGGTTCAGAGACCTTGATGGCACCATAAAAGATTATTTACTACTTCCTTTCTTAAATGTGATAAAACTATAGCATCACTACTTCTGATCTATTTAAATAATGTGGGAAAGGCAAGCAAATAACAAGAATGGCAAAGAAGCTCCACATTTGCTATCTCCCTTTTCTTTTCTTTTAGAGAGAGAGAGAGAGAGAGAGAGAGAGAGAGAATTTTAATATTTATTTTTTAGTTTTCGGCGGACATAACATCTTTGTTTGTATGTGGTGGTGAGGATCGAACCTGGGCTGCACGCATGCCAGGCGAGCGCGCTACCGCTTGAGCCACATCCCCAGCCCTGCTATCTCCCTTTTCTTTGGCAGAAAATTTGCTCTCAAGCAATTCCTACATTTGAAAGGAAAAATAAAAAGGAAAGGGCACTCGGGTGATAGATTTCTGTTTATTTGGCAAAGAATGGGTTAGGAACCAGGCAAAAATGTATAAAATTACATGGATTGGTACATTTCAGTTTTTTCTTTTTTTTTTGGGGGGTGGGGTGGTACCAGGGGTTGAACTCAGGGGCACTTGACCACTGAGCCACATCCCCAGCCCTATTTTGGATTTTATTTAGAGACAGGTTCTTACTGAATTGCTTAGCACCTCGCTTTTGCTGAGGCTGGCTTTGAACTCATGATCCTCCTGCCTCAGCCTCCCAAGTCACCAGGATTACAGGCATGTGCCACCATGCCCAGACTGTCACATATTTTTTAAAAATATTTATTTTTTAGTTGTAGCTGGACACAATACCCTTATTTTATTTTATTTATTTATTTTTATGTGGTGCTGAGTATCTAATCCAGGGCCTTGCATGTGCTAGACAAGTGCTCTACCGCTGAGCCACAACCCCAGCCCCTGTCACATAGTTTTTCATTAACTGGAATAGCTAACAAGGAGTAAAGCTTTAGGTGCTAGAATCAGCCAAACCTGGATTCAAACTATGGTTCCACCAAGAACTATGTAACTATAGGCAAATTCCTAAATGTCAGTTTTCTCAGCTATAAAATGAGGACAGAAATAAAATAAAATAAAAAATAAGTTTGCCTATACCTCCTTGTTGTTAAGCTCAATGCAAAAATGCATGTAAAACACTTGGTCTATAGTAGGTAAACACTGGCTGTTAATAATTGCTAAGCAAAACTGGCCAAGATTCATAATTCTATGAGGGGAAAAACTGGTGTCAGGGATCAAAGAATCTCTAATTTGAATGTAAAAATCTAGTGATTTAATCTCAATAAATGAAGCTATATAATTAATGGTACTAGTAAAGCAAATATACCATTTTAGTTATGCAAATTAGACAGCATCTCAGATTTGCCATTTTAAATTAATACTTACCTTTTCTTGAAAAAAGACAAAAGAGGTGAGAGGTAAAAAGGCAATATCAATAGCAAGCTAGAAATTTACATTTTTTTCTACTAAAGCCATAAAGAGAATAAGAAAAAAAAAACACAGGAACCTCCTGGTTATACACTATTCAGTTTATTATTGTTTTTCTTCTTTTGACTAAGGGAAGAGGACTGTCAAGCAGGAACAGGAAATCACAGAAATAGAAAACTATAGAAAGCACTTCTTGGTATAATAATCAAGATTAGCCATGGTATCTTAGACAGAAAATGGATTTTGTGGTATTTTAGACCAAGAATATGAAAAAAGAAATAATCATCGACTTTAATTTTAAAAGGCAAGGTAAATGTACCTGCTTCTTTTAAAGTGCTGCATTTCTGATATATAGATGTCCGTAAGGTGGGTGCCCTTCCATTGTACAATCTTATCTTCTCAATCCGAGAATCAAAGACTCGAAGCAAAGGATCTTTCTCTTCCCACTGAGACATAATTTTGTTATCAATAAAGGTGGCAAACATCTGTGTTTCAATGAATCGTGAAAGAAATGGCAGATAAGGCTCAGGTTGGTCAGAAAGGAAAGAAGCCTGTAATGAAATAATTGGCAAATTATTACCATCACAATACTACATGACACATGGGATAATTATCTGTTGCTAAGGTTATTCTTTTTTAATCTTACAACTATAAAACTGACACATAAAATTAAAAAGTCCTTAAAATCCTACTCTTTATTCCTTTCTTACATGCTGATCCTAATGACCATTATGCAGACAAGAGGGCATCACTGGTAAAAGAGAGGGTTAAGTTGCTATATAATTGTCAATCATCCACTTCACTTACCATTAAATTTTGATCCCTCTCCCCAGTGAGTAGTTTCTTCTCCTTTCTATTCCTAGTTTATGCAATCCCATAAGGCAATGAGATGATTAACTGATGCAATGAGATATATATTAGCAATAATTTTTTTAAAATGACCACATAGAATTTGTGCTTATGGGTGAAATTCTTTTGTTCTTCAAGTGGATTCTTTTTAGGCTGTAACTCTTTTAACTCAAAATCAAACTGCTTGCAGACCTGTGTTGCAGTCTGGGGTTAAACTACTAAAAAAAAAAAAAAAAAAAAAAAAAACCATTGCCTGAAAAATCATTATAAGCAAGCTTCTGGAAAACATATGCAACAAACTGCACGTTCATATTACTAGCTTGTTTAATGTGTGGAATGGTTCAATAAATTGTAATCAGTTTCTCATCTAAAGTATTCACTTCTTTCTGTTATTCTTCAGGTATATACATCTAGGAATTTTAGTCTCAGTTTGGTATTAGGGGAAATTTGGAAGTGAATTACTATTTCAGTCAGTGGGCTGGTTTTGCTTTACTTTCCTTTTGAGTAGATGAAGTATGGCACAAGCCAGAAGGTGAAAGATGAAAGGGTAAGTTCCAAATAAGGTTACTTTGTCTTTCCCTTTTTTGGGGTACTGGGATTGAATCCAGGGCCTCACATGTGTTAGGCAAGCACTTTACCACTGAGGTACATCACCAGCCTTTTTCTTTAAAAATTATTTTGACACAGGGTCTTGTTAAATTGCCCAGGTTGGCCTTGAACTTGCAATCCTCCTCTCTCAGCCTCCTAAATAGCTGGGATTACAGGCATGCACCACCTTGCCTGGCCTAAGGTTACTATTCTTAATACTCATTAGCTTCTTTCTAGCATATTTTGCATTCTGAAATTTCCAAGGACTTTAAATACTTCCTTATAGAAATGTACACATCCAATCTTTGTACTTCCATAGTTCAGATGTTACTTACATAAATCCAAATGACTAGAGAAAGATTCACAGTATCTCTAGAAATCAGCTCAATTCCTCAAAAGGCATTTTTTTGTTATTGTTGTTGCCAGGGACTGAACCCAGGCCTTTGTGCATGTGAAGCAAGCACTCTACTGAGCTACATTCCCAGCCCTCCTCAAAAGGCATTTTATAGATAAACATCAATTTTACTTTTTATAGGGCAAATAGTCTTTTTAAAAATAAAATGAGCCATATGTATCTGGCTTTTGAGTTTCAGACATCATAGACTACATACAATACTTAAGGTGGGGAAAAAAAAGACTTGGGTTGCAGAGCTAATATGTCTTACATACTAGCCTTCTGGAGTGCAACATGAAACTTTCATTTCTTAGGGGTAATATAAAGGCAATCTCACTTCTAGATTGAAGCGACATAAAACTTAAGAAAGAAGAAAGTAAAAAAATTAAAAAATAAAAAAGAAGGAAGAAAGTACCAGAGCTTGACTTAAGAATTTGAATTGCCCCAAGGATAAATTATGAATGTAACACAGATTAGTTCCAGGCTAGATAGGAAAAAGTATAGGAAAAAAGTTATGGTAAATGAGAAAGGAGTCTAAGAGTAGGAATACATTTGAAGAAGTAAAATTTCTTAAATTACAGAGTTTAAGCAAACTGGGTAAGGTGATGCATGCCTATTAATCTCAACTAGCTGGGAGGCGGAGGCGAGATTGATTCACAAATTTAAAGCCAACCCAGGCTATTTTACAAAACCCTGGCTTCTCAAAATAAGAAAAAAGGGCTAGTGATGTAGCTCAGTGGTTGAATGCTTACCTAGCAAGCTCAAACCCTGCCACCTTCACCTCACCCCAAAAGTTTAATGAAATGGAGTAATCAGCAAATTCTGACATTCCTGGCATATTATTCTCCATCAGAAAAAAAAATTGATGAAATCAGAAAATATTCCATTCTACCTGTGTTTACACAAAATTTTAGTTAATACTTACTTGTCAGATGCTACAAGGCTGTACATTAGCCTCTTAGAGTGCATCAGCCCTTCTGGGAGGTCTTTCATGACCAAAAGATTCCACTTAGTGAGTGAACACCATGATTCATTTTTATAGCATTATTATGCCTCAGCAATCACGCAGGCAGGGGCCTGAACTATACCCTAGTGACTTAAAGGAGTTAATGCACATCTCTAAGTGCTTTTGTCTGGGGGAGGAAAAAAAAAAGTCTGAGGAATATGTAAAGAAAATCTGGTAGAAGAATACAGTAAACCTTAGGGAAAAAGCTTCAATAGGAGAATCAAAAGCTAGTGTCATTTTTGTCTTTCTTTCCCCAAAACTTTGGAATAGTCTTAGACTAACAGTCATAAAACCTGATTTGTTCACTCTTTATCTCTTATGATCCTAAAATGAAAAAAAAATTGCCTTTTGAAACTAAATTATTTGTTACCTTTATATGGACACATTGTGATCCCATTAAAGGATGAAGGTTAAATATAAGAATTGGGATTTCTTGGGCTGGGGTTGTGGCTCAGTGGTAGAGCATTTGCCTAGCATATGTGAGGCCCTGGGTTCAATTCTTAGCACCACATATAAATAAAAAGAATACAAGTATTGTGTCCATCTTAAAAAAAAAAAAAAAAAAAGAAAGAATTAAGATTTCTTGGGGCTGGGGATGTGGCTCAAGCAGTAGCACGCTCGCCTGGCATGTGTGCGGCCCGGGTTCGATCCTCAGCACCACATACAAACAAAGATGTTGTGTCCGCCGAGAACTAAAATAAATAAATATTTAAAAAAAAAAAAAAAAAAAAGATTTCTTTATAAAGGAATAGCCTTCATTTGACTAGATTTGGTCATAAGGGTAAACAAAAGCCTTACAAGGTCAGGCAGTATTAACAGATTTGAAAAAGCTGTTTGGAGTTTCTATAATTTACTTGGATGCAGTAGCGCATGCCTGTAATCCCAGTGACTCAGGAGATTAAGGCAGGAGGGATCACTAGTTCAAAGCCAGCCTCAGCAACTCAGTGAGACCCTGTGCAACTTAGCAAGACCCTATCTTAAAGTAAAAAATAAAAAGGACTGGGGATGTGGCTTAGAGATTAAGTGCCCCTGAATTCAATCCCTGGTTAACTCCTACCCCTCAAAAAAGTTTCTATAATTTAAGCATTGTCAAAGTACAGAAAATTTTAAATTGAGATTATAGGTTATTTAACAGCCAGTCTTATAAGCTGGTTGGTTTGCCTTTTTGTAAAATTAGTGTAAAATATTGGTGACAGAAAGTGCTTAGTGGGACAGGAGAGGGGAAAATTTTGTGTTTAAAAAAAGTTAACAAAATCAAGTAATGTAATCAACTAAGAACCATAAAGAAGGAAAACTATGGCTCATTTACTTTGTCAAAGTTCTGCATCTGTTCCCGGTTGGTCAGCCAGGATTCCATGTCCTGGGCAGTTTGAATCACAAATGCTTCATAATCAGCAAACATCTGTGTAAAGCGGTTAGCAAAGACCTCTCTCAGCTGTACATTCAGCTGGTAGTCCCTCAGTTCTGCCTCTTCACACTGCAGTTTTAAATCCTTTTCTTTTTCACCCAGAGAAGCAGACAGGTCCATTTTTTCCACAGTCACACCAGTCCTCTTGGCCAGAGCCTGCAAGCGGGCTATGGTTTCATTGCCCTTCAATAACTCATACATGCTGATATTATTAGTGGAGACATTGCCATTCTTCTTGTCATTGACCAAATCTTTCAGAACCAGATTCTTCAGTTTGGTGGCACTCTCACTGCAATGTAAGCTGCCCTCAGGAGGAATCCCAAATTGAAGAAGAACTTCAGAGAGCTCCTGGATAAAATCCACTTTATTGGGGAACTGTGGAAATTCTTCAGGCAATTCAATAAAATGGTTGTCAATGTCCACAAAGCACAAATTAGCCTGAAATAGAAAAAAGGAATACAAAGGTTAAATTTTATATCCAGAAATACTCTTGCCAACTATTATAAAGAAAAGCACAGATTATGCTGCATTTGGTTTTTTAAATTCTTACTTTTTCCCCTTATTATTATTAGTATTATTTTTAGGTACTGGGTATCGAACCCAGGGGCACTCTGCCATTGAGCTATATATCTCGACCTTTTTTTTTTTCTTCTCCCCAGACAGGGTCTCACTAGTTGTCCAGGCTGACCTTGAACGTGTAACCCATCTGCCTCAGCTTCCTGAATAGCTGGGATTACAGGCATGTATTACCACACCTAGATTATTTTTGTTTTTTTACAATGTCTTTTATGTTAACCATTTCAAGGTTCAATTTTTTGTGGTGCTGGGGATTGAACTCAGGATCACTAAGCACATTTGCTACCACCTACCACTGAGCTACAACCCCATCCCCTGAGATTATTATTCTTTAAAAAATAATTTCTTTTGCCAGCATTTTTCCCTAGGTAAGTATTTGCATACCATATTTAATAATATTTTCATAACAATATTTTATAATAATTTCATAATATTTATTCATGAATAATTTTCTCTGGGTCTCAACAATTTACTATAATCTGACACGAATCTCTAATATTTGGCATTGATCAGGCATTCCTAAATGGGTAAAGGGACCCAGAGTTGCATGATCCTACACATGAACATTATTGAGTAAAATGCTCATAATGAGCTTTATCATTCTTTGTCATTATTCCATTGCTTAAACAACATCTATAATTTAGAATACATAATAACTGCTAAAAATTAGAGCTCTAGTACCCACAAATGGATGAAACTGGCAAAGTTCAATGCAATTCACAGATAATCCACAAATTTTCACTTTAACAAAATTAGCTGAACTTTGCAGAACAGCAAAATCATTTTAGAGGTCATTAGACAAAAAAGCAGGAAGCAGGGACAGGGTTGTGGCTCAGTGGTAGAGCGCTTGCTTAGCATGCGTGAGGCACTGGGTTAGATCCCCAGCACCACATGGAAATAAACAAATAAAATAAAAGTATTGTGTCCATCTACAACTAAATATATATATTTATATATATTTAGGGCACCAAACAAGCAGGAAGCAGCTAGGTGTGGTAGCACATGCCTATATCCCCATGAATTGGGAGGCTGACACAGGAGGATTGCTAGTTCAAACCCAGCCTCAGCAACTTAGTGAAGCCCTAAGCAACTCAGCAAGACCTTGTCTGTAATTAAAAAAAAAAAAAGGGTTGGGGATGTGGCTCGGTGGTTAAGCATTCCTAGGTTCAATTCCTGGTCACACACACACAATAAAAGCAGGAAGCAGAAAGAGGTGGGAGAAGCAAGTGCCTGGATAACCAGTGATTAATTAAATAATTTGACTCATGAGAAATAAGAAGAAATGTATTCTGTTTGCTTATACTCTAGATTTGAAATTTATTTCGACTAAAAGGCTTTTAATATATATAAACATTTTTCAAATAGATACAGTAAATTCAAGAGGCCAAGTACCTGAATAAAATCCTGATTATCCCCTTGGGGACCTGGTAAACAGTATTTTTTACCTTTACTGTCCCATACTTTCTTGATCATAACGAGGTTATCAATGAAAAAGATGACTGAGCTCCTAGAATTGGGGGGGAGTAGAGAGAAGTGGGGAAAGCAAGGGCACCAAAGATGTAGCTCATCACATAAAACTGATTCCAATTACATCAACAATTGAACACAGAATATGTGTAAGCAAACAAAACAGGAAGCTTCATCTTGAGTTGAGTTTTCTCCTTTCCCATTAGGTAACCAAGGAGAGAATTCATACTGTCTTCTGATCCCACATGGCAAGGTTAGATAAAAGGGTAAGTAAATAGTTGGGTCCTCCCCCCCTCCCCTTTTTTAATATTTATTTTTTAGTTGTAGTTGGACACAATACCTTTATTTTATTTATTTTTATGTGGTGCTGAGGATCAAACCCAGGGCCTCGCACATGCTAGGCAAGCGCTCCACAGCTGAGCCACAACCCCAGCCCCCTTTTTCTTCTCTCTCTCTCTTTTTTTTTTTGGTTGTAGATTGACACAAATACCTTTATTTTTTCTTATTACTTATTTATTTTTATATGGTGCTGAGAATCGAACCCAGTGCCTCACATGTGCCAGTCAAGTGCTCTACCACTGAGCCACAACCCCAGTCTCCCCTTTTTCCATTTTAATATTTTTTTTTTCATGTGAGAGGACAGAAAGCTAAAAGTATAGTGACATTTCAAATTAAGCTCAATAAACCCCCAAGATTTCCTACTTCTATACAAAACTAAATAATAAAACTAGAGCCTAATATAATCTTTATAATCCAGTCCTTCAATCTTGCAGATGAAAAAATTGAGGCCCAAGAACTTGGGTAACTTCCTGGCACCTGCTCCAAATATGTATCCTCAAAACAGCCTGGGGGTTCTTTGTGATTATTTTTTTTTCCCTCATCTCCAATGTCAGTAGATTTCTCTAAATAAAGAGCTGAAATGTCAGATCTTGCTGAAGACAGTAGTGCTTCCTACAACTTTCTTTAAATCCACATCTTTATGTGTGTGTCTTCCATTTCTTGAAAGTAGGATACACTGAAAGACTTAGAGGCAGAAAGTAGGTCACCATATTAAAACAGATGATTCAATATCTTTAAAAATGGAAGAAAAAAATTCAATAACTTGCTAAGTGTTAACCAGTAACCTTTCTTTTTTATTTTATACTATCTTCTTCATTAATGCCCTCTAACTATCCTTTTCCATTCCTCTCCTCCTCCCATAAAGAGAGAGAATAAAACATTTTCTGACATAAAATTTAAAGCTTATTATGCTCACGGTATCAGTGCTGAACTGAGTGTGTTGTGCCAGTGGGAGTTCCGGCAACAGAGATTAGCCAGTCTTCATGCTCCCACAGAAGTCTCCCATGCCCTCCCCTACACCTGCTTGGAAGGGCCCAGAAGGGCTCTGATTATTATCACAAAGTAGAAATAGGAAATACAAATTTGTGTTATTAAAAATTATTGAAGAAAAGTTATTTTTTCTAAAACAAATATGAATCCCACTAAATAATTTACAAGTTGTTTCTTCTCTCTTAATACCATTAAATTTTAAAAAATTCTATTAGAAAAGCTCAAGAAGTATTACATACGTGATAAAAAACAGACTCAAACCTCAATTTGACACTGTTTGGGGACTAAGTACTTTGTATATCTACTGATCAACATAACCCATAAATCTTCATGATATGTAATTAACTCAAATTAAAAGTAAAAAAAGTTCCCTCAAAAGTAAAAGGTCAGGGCTGGGGTTGTGGCTCAGCAGTAGAACACTCGCCTAGCACGTGTGAGGCCCTGGGTTCGATCCTCAGCACCACATAAAAATAAATAAATAAAATAAAGGTATTGTGTCCAACTACAACTAAAAATAAATAAAAAAAAGTAAAAGGTCAAATAATTGAAGCTTAATTATTTCTTCTGTAAGTAGAAGCATCCTGATCTCCTCTATATATTCTTAGTTCATTTATTCCTGAGTATTTATTTAACCTGCCTGTGTGTTTTTGTTGTTGTTGTTGTCGTTTTATCTTAAGTAAAAGTATAGCAAAGTTTATTAGAAGGGTGGGGAAAGATGGTCTCAAGGGAAGAAGCAGATATCTTGGAGAAGAAATTGACTAACCTGTGTTATTGATACTTAAATTTTTTTGTTATTGTTTTGGAAAGCTGAAATCACCTCGTTTATCTTGAAGCCCCCTACAATTCTACACAAATAGTGTCTGTTGAAACCCTCAGGTGATGGTCACTTGAGGGAACACCAAAGAGGTAGGCATGGGGGCTGGGGACATAGCTCAGTTGATAGAGTGCTTACCTCACATGCACAAAGCCCTGGGTTTGATCCTCAGCACCACACACACACACACACACACACATAGGCAGGAGCAGTAAATACTTAGGAATGTGAGCTGGGAGAAGCTTTCCTCAGGTTTATTTATAAGTGATCTAGGTTCTGAGTGTCTGAAATTAAGATGTCATGAGGATAAGCCAGAGGAGATCATTTAAAATTTTCTCCCCTGAGAATATAGCTCAATGGAAGAGAGCCTGCCTAGCATGAATGAGGCCCTGGGTTTGACCCCCAGCACCACAAATAAGAAAATAAAAATAAATAAATAAATAAAATATTCCCTCAGAATCTCAAGGCAAGGTACAACAAAAACAAGGTGGCAAAAGCAATTCTGTTCTCAGTTTTTATTTTTGTCTATCACTTTGAAGATGAGCAAAAACAGTTAAAAGTGAGGTAACATTCTATGCAGTTAATTTTCAGAGTTACATTCTTGAACACTCACTTTCCCACCCCGCTCCCTAAAAAATTATATAACAAATGGCTACTTGTGCCTATCATTTTGGAGTCATGGGGAAATGGAGTGGGTTGTTAATTATAAGTCTATGTAGTTACATTAGTTACCTAACAACTAAAATCATACCTTCTTGAAAAACTCATTTTTGTACACTTAGCATTTTTGTAACTATTTTTGGAAGCTTTATCACTATTTTTAGCCATTATTTTATTTATACAGTTTTTTGGGAAGAGGGCGAGAAGTATGAATAGTGAGTACACTTAAGTCACCTTTTTTTTTTTTTTTTGGTGGTGCTGGGGATTGAACCCAAGGCCTTGTGCATGTGAGGCAGGCAGTCTACCAATTGAGATATATCCCCAGTCCCTTTAAGTCGTTTTTAAAAATGGCTATTTTTTTTTAAAGTTGTAGATGGACACAATACCTTTATTTTATTTTATTTTTATGTGGTGCTGGGGATCAAACCCAGTGACTCACGCATGCTAGGCAAGTGCTCTACCACTGAGCCACAACCCGGCCCCTAAAATGGCTATTTTTATACTACTTCCTCTCCCCAAAATTATGTGAGGCAGATATTCATCTCATTGTAAAATGATACCAGAATGAAGTAATACACTGTTAGCCTTTTCTTCCAGAACAATGGTGCATCTAATTTATAGTTTCTATATAGAAACACTGTTATTTTTTTTAACAGCTAATTCAGGTAATTTCATACTATTCTATTAATAGATGGGTATATGTATTTATTAATAGTGTTGAGGGCTAAGGTTATGACCCAATGGTAAAGCACTTGCTTAGCATTTATAAGAGGGCCTGGTTTTAATTCCCAACACTGCAAACCAATCATCCAATCAAACAAACTGACCCTAAAATCTAAAAAAAACTAAAATAAAATAAAATAAAAGTAGAATTCAACTTGTGAGTGAAAAATTAGAAAATCCCAGTGATCATTATGAAGGCTTTTGCAATTTTTAACTTATCTTTAGTCAGAGGATACATGTAGACATAGAAAAATTTCCCAATTACATCTATACCAAGGTGGCATTTAAAAATTTGTCAATAATTATTTATGTAAAATGGAAAGACAACTTTTACATACTAAATAAACTGTCTTAAGAATATAATTTGCCAGCCAGGTGCGGTGGCGCACGCCTGTAATCTCAGTGGCTTGGGGGGCTAAAATAGGAGGAAAGCGAGTTCAAAGCCAGCCTCAGCAAGAAGAGAGGCGCTAAGCAACTCAGCAACATGTCTCTAAATAAATAATACAAAATAGGGCTGGGAATGTGGCTCAATCCTTGGTACAAAAAAAAAATTTAATTTGTTTAATGTACAAAATAGATCAGATACTCAACAAGAAACTAAATGTCTTGTTAAATCCTCGCCCCCCAACCCCAGTACTAAGGATCAAAGCTAGGGCCTTGCATACAAGCTACACCGCAACCCTAAGTCTATTTTTGGGTGTTGGTTCTAGGCATTGAACACAGAAGACTTCTGCCTGTGAGCTACAATACAAGCTCCTTTTTTAAAATTTTATTTTGAGCCGGGTGTGGTAGTGCACACATGCAATCCCAGTAGCTTACGAGGTTGAGGCAGGAGCAATTTAGTGAGGCCCCAAGCAACTTGGTGAGACCCTGTCTCAAAATAAAATATAAAAAACGGCTGGGGATGTGGCTCAGTGGTTGAGGGCCCCTGAGTTCAATCTCTGGTACCAAAATATATATATTTATTATTTTATTATTTTGGTACTGGGGGTTGAACCTAGGGGTGCTTAACCACTGAGTCACATCCCCAGCCCTATTGTATTTTATTTAGAGACAGGGTCTCACTGAGTTGCTTAGCACCTCGACACTGCTGAGGCTGGTTCTGAACTCTTGATCCTCCCCATCTCTGCCTCTGGAGCCACTAAAATACAGGTGTGCACCACTGTGCTCAGGAAAAAAATAACTTTTTATTTTGAGACAAGGTCTTGCCAAATTGCCCAGGCTGGCCTCAGACTTGTAATACTCCTGCCTCAGCTTCCTGAGACCTGGAATTAAGTGCATGTGCTACCATGCCCAGATGTTTTTTTTTTTTTAATGTTTTTTTATTGTAGATGGACACAATATTTTTGTTTTTATTTATTCATTTTTATGTGGTGCTGAGGATCGAACCCAGTGCCTCATGCAATGCGAGGCAAACGCTCAACCACTGAGCTACAACCCCAGCCCTCTTTTTAAGTCTTTAAAATAAAAACACATTTTTTCTTGAAAATTTAAGGGATTTACTTCTTCAAACAATGATATTCTAGATTAGTTCCATGAAAGAGAAAATAAGAAAATTCAGGGAATAAAGATGTAAAATAAGAAGCAGAAAGAGGAGAACATGAGCAAGTCCCAGAAGAACAAGGAAACTTGCCCATATATTTTATATGACCTGAAGTTATTTTCTCTTGAACAAAAATGTTAATTTTGGTAAGGAAACATTCCTTAGAATAAAAGTCAGCAGTGGATGATTATGGGAATCATTACTAGGTATAATGGCTATGGCTTAGTGTGTTATTTTAAACTCACTTATTAAAATGAGAATCTCTACAGGAAATAAGAACAAATAAAAGTGAAACTCAGCATGAGAGACTGTATTAAGAAAGGTGCTAATTAAATAGCTAATAATATAATGTAATTAACCATTTTGTGTTTTTTAATAGGCCATGGCATTATCATCAATATTTCATTTCAAAAGCTTTACAGTACAATTCTAAGTATCATTATCAACAGCCAAAAATTAGATTCAAAATGCTTTCAAGAATTCTTGCTTATTTTTCCTCTCAAACAACATTTCAAAACAAAGCACACTGGAAAGATAGTAATATTAAGGTGGCAAAAAGCTAGGGCTTAAAATTTTAGTCTAGCTGACAAAGCTAAGTTAATATTTGGAACAGGTTGATAATTGGCCTTATGACTGCAAACAGAGAATAAAGCATTTTATGTTTCCATTTTCCAGTTTGCTAAAAGATGTTATTTTTTATTTGATGGGAGGTAAAAAGTCAAATTCACCTCAGTTAATACAATTTTAAAGGATGTCAGATCTGGGATGTGTCATTTAAAAATAAAATTTGTAACAAGTATGGAAAAGAAATGAATGTTATTAGAATACATCAATGATGATTATGACTACTATTGCTCCATTTTCAAACATTTATAGGTGTAAAAATACGCCAGTGTTCTGTTTTGAACTATGTTTAATTAATGGCTATCGTGTAGTAATCATCAGATCATGGTCTGCATTCTGTGGCTCAGGTTCTACCTTAGCCATACTTGGGAGATTAAGGAGAGCCAGAGAGATAAAATCGGATGAAGACAATGCTATTTAACAAAAGTAGCCTTGACCTAAATCAACAAACAGCAAATTTCATCATTCATCAAAAAAGTTTTACCTCTTGAGGAAGTTCTAGTTTAGAACGGTCAGTTCCTTCTTTTGACTGAAGACCCATCAGATAAGGTACAGGAGCATCAAGAAAATGTAGCAGAGAAGCAGGAAGGATGGGCACATAAACATGCTGCCACTGAAATGGGAACAAAAGTGTGGTGATGCCTTCTGCCACAGTCATCAGGCGTTGATAATCTGCACAGAAGAAGGAAAAAATGGAAGAAAAGAAAAATCCAAGTAAAAATACAATTGCCTTATTAAGCTTGAAAATATCAGAAAAAATCTGTTAAAATTTATGATTATACAGAAAATAGGTCAGTTTTATTCCTCCAAAGTGGGTGTGGGCAGGTGGAAAACATCATCACACTCCTTCTTTTTTTTTGGTACTGGGCATTGAACCCAGGGGAGCTTTACCACTGAGCTATATCCCCAGTCCTTTCTATTTTTTTGAGACAGGGTCTTGTTAAGTTGCTGAGGCTGGCCTCAAACTTGGGATCTTTCTGCCTGAGCCTCTCAAGGTGCTAGGATTACAGGTATATGGTACTGTTCCTGGAACACTCCTTGCTTCACTGGTATGGGACTCTACATTCCCTTAAAATGTGGAAAAATCAAGAACTAATATAATTGCTCTTTATTATATTCAGTGGTACTTATTCCACTGAAAATGTACAAATTATATTACCATGGAACATTTTTGATTATATGCATACTCATATAATCCGAAATCAGAAGCTCATTTTTTTCTTATACATATGATCATGGTGATAGCCTTTGGTAAGCTGATTATATTCTGTTAGCCCTCATTTGTGGGCACATAAAATGAAACAGATATACAATCATAGTCACATTTCCTATATTTAAACCTATAACTACAGAACCATCATATGTAGGCATAAAGTGAGTTACAAGATAATTAAAGGTGTTCTGTTGTTGTAACTGTGTTTTGTTTACACGAATTAGCTTATCAAAATTAAAAACTATTCACAATACTAAAGTGCCCTCTTAAACCACTCTGCCATAGATAATTTATATTTACATATGCCCACAATCCCTATTTAAACCCTTAGAGGTAGACTTTTTTTTTTTTTTTTTTTTTGTACTAGGGATTGAACTCAGGAGCACTCAACCACTGAGCCACATCCCCAGTCCTATTTTGTATTTTATTTAGACACCAGGTCTCGCTGAGTTGCTTAGCTGGCTCTGAACTCATGATCTTCTTGTCTTAGCCTCCTGAGCTGCTGGGATTACAGGCGTGTGCCACCACACCTGTTTTGTTTTGTTTTTTGGTCCTGAGGTTTGAACCCAGGGGCACTTTACCACTGAGCTACACTTCCATCCCTTTTTATTCTGAGACAGGGTTTGGCCAAGTTGCTCAGGTTGGCCTTAAACTTGCAATCCTCAGCTTCTAGTTGGTGATATTTCAGATGTGTGCCACTGTGCCTGACTGGAGCAGACATGTTTTATAATCCAGATTTTTGTTTTCTTAAATTTAGAAAGATAACACAGTGTGTAGATCATATGTATGAACTACTGAGGGCAGTACCCTGGAACGAAATACATTAATATTTTTGCAGTGAACCAACAAATGTTCTACAATAGGGCAAAAAAAAAATCACATATAAATAGGGCTATTTTAGTTCAGGTTTGGCTTTTCTGTTAAGTAACTTACACAAAGAACATTTGGTTTTCAGAATTTCTTGGATTTGAGAATTAAAGATAAGGACCATGGACTTGTAATAAATACCTCACAAATTCATGCTGCAAAAATACAGTAAAGCCCTAGGGAGGAAGACTTCAGGGAAGTCTTAATTTTAAAAGGTTAAGGAAAATGATCAGATGCTACTTGTTCACATTATCTTGTCAAACATTTAACAAGCATATACAAAATTTTTCTTGTGTTATTTTATAAATTTCAAATGACTACCTTTAATAGTCTACAATAGGATTTTGGTAGTAAACCATTAGCAGTCCATAATCCTTATTTGATTCATTATAAAAACTAACATTCTAGATGAAACCTTCTTTATATAAATACTTCTAAAAGAAACACCAGGTGACCTGAAGGGTTTGGGTCAGTCATATGAGCACAAAGAGCTGACTTAATTATGTGGCTTGGAAAGACAGACACACACCATCATTTGATGCCCATAAAAAAAGTCAGGCTTAGATAGCTGGTATTCTGTGGAGGTAAGGCGAATGGTAGTCAAAGGACATCAGTCACTTACTACTCTACTTAACTGGGTAGATGTTTGAAGTGTAGTGACAAGGGTCTTTTATTAGATGAGTGGGGGAGTGGATGGAAAGCTGATTTGAAATCCATGAAGTCTGCTTGATAACCCCTAGGTTTAGAAATTATACTCTAGGAAGAACTAACTCTACTTGTGCTCTATCACAGGATTCCATGGCCACTTGACCCATGTACCATCTCTTTACTGTGGGTTCCCTCTGAGAAGAGCAGTATTTGTCTTATCTCATATCTTGCCCACAAAGCACTTAGCCAGTGCTAACTAAATTTATTGTCCAAATTTACTGATGCTACTAAATGTTGTACTCTTCTTCTCTTTACGCCCAACAGAGTCCTAAAACAAAACCAAAAAATGAGAAGCAGGAAGATGGGCAAGTAATTAACCATAAGACAATCAAACTCAGAAAAACTTAGGATCTATTCTGTGGCCATCCATTTCAACCAAGGATTGGGGGCTTTCTTATTTTCATAACTTCAGTACTTAGTGAATTATGTTGTACTTAGTACATTATGTTGTACTTAGTACAACATAATGCTGCCTATAGTAGAAGTTTAAAAAGTTTAATCAGTGAAATAAAAGGATAAGAATATATAATTTTGTTAGTATCCATAACTTATGTAGACTTGCTTAGATTTTTGCCCACAAGATTAAAGAATTATTAATTTTTTAGGGAGAGAAAATGGTAACTCCTCAGACAACAAAATATTCACTAAAAAAATCACATTTCTTGGAACATTCACATTAACATTCAGTTAATTACAGGTATGCCCAGGCACATTATAAGAAAACATATCCATTTACTGAGCCATAGTGGTTGTTTATCATGCAGAGAACCAAGTGACTCATTCTAACTATACATAAGTAGACCTTACAGGGTTCAGAGTTCTGTTTAAAAACAAAAATCACATTTTAACATTTACCTCTACTATATTAAAAATGTAAAGATTTTAGCAATGATATATTAATGCAGGCTTGTTAAAGCCTTTCAGAGTGGGGAAAGGACTCTTGGAAGCTTCTTCAGCTTTCTGGAAGTAAGTAGAGAATTAAGAAGCTCAGTGTCACCCCCATCAGGAAGATTTATTCTACATGTCACTCCTTAAGTATGCAGAGAACAGAATCTCTCAAAAATAAGAAAACGACTTCATATTCATTTCATTAAAATTGCTTATGTCTTGACCATATTCAAAATATATGGTATGTCTTCTGTAGGAAAAGCTATCATAAAAATAAATGTTTTGTCCATATTTGCTAAGTATTAAAAACTGCTAACAGTTTAACTGTGGGTTTTATGGAGTTTTATTTCTGCAAAAATAGTTTTAAAAAATAAACTATTATCAGGGTTGTTTTTTTTTAATACTGTTAAATTTCTAAGAGAGTCACTTCCTTAAGGAAAAAAGTCAATGTTGGTAATGCAACTAGCTTCTTCAAACACATACATAGACATAAACTGGGCAAGGTGGCACACACTTGTAATTCCAGCTACTTAAGTGGTTGAGGCAGGATGATCACAAGTTTGAGGTCAGCTTGGGCAACTTATTGAGACCCTGTATCAAAATAAAAAATTAAAAAAGCTGGGGATGTAGCTCAGTGGTGGAGTATTTGCCTAGCATGAATAAGGCTCTGGGTTCAATCCCTAGTACCACCAAAAGAAAACAACAAAAATGCAGAAGAAAAAATACTTATCATTTCTTCTACCAATGCCCTTCAGTGAAAACAAAAAACAAAAACAAACAAACCAAGGAACACACCTGTACCTGAACAAACTGTTTGGGTTTCTTGCTCACTGCAGAGAGGGAGAATGCAAACTTGAGAATATCTTAATAAAGGAAAAAAGTCTATTATAAAATTTGGGATTTAGCTGGATAATTTTTGGGAGCATTTGAGATTTAGCTGGATAATTTTTGGGAGCATCTAAGGAAACAGATTTGCTTTGGATTGGGAGCTGCCAGAAATCAAGGCAATTCTATGACTAGGTATCTCAATAAATCTGATTGATAAGGAGCAAAGACTAAAGTGAGTATAAAGCTATAACTTGGGTTGGAGATGAAGCTCAATGGTAGAGTGCTTGCCTAGCATGAGGCCCTGGGTTTAATATGCAACACACACACACACACACACAAATTGGTGAGCAAGTAGCATACTAATTTAATGAGGAAGAGGTCTGGTATTTTGTAGGGTACACAGTGGTCTTGCTTGCTATTCTTGTGAGACCGCTTATTCCCTGCAGGAGAACAACATTGCTTAGTTTTGCATATCACATCAGTTTGTAATAACAGTGAGGCCTATCTGTGAGAGCCAGACCAGTTCCAAGACATCAGGGTCTGATTTTATTTATTTATTTTTCAATTATAAGTCAGACATAGGCGAAAGGCTCTGAGTTTTAGCAGTCAAATTATGTGCCAGTTATCCATTAATTGCCTCTCCATTCCAAATCCACTGCGTACATGCTCTATGAGAACCAGATGGACTCAAGCATTTTCTTTTTCAGTGATCACAATATTAAGCTTTGTAAGGAGAAGGCAATGGAAAGACACTGCTGGGAGAAGGGGCTTTTCTTCCTGGTCCTAGTGGGCAATGTATAGTGTTTTGCTTGTTATTGCTACTGTTGCATGGTTGACCAGTGGTGTGGATATGCAAAGACATCTAGGGGTACAACGCCCCAACCCCACACCTAGAGTGAGCAGTACCTCAGTGACTGGGCCCAATGGTCACCTTCCCAGGGCCCTCTCAACAGAGATATTGCACATTCAGACCTCCCACTTACAGTGGGGCAAGACAATTGCTGTGGGCCTGCTCATCAGCTGCAGCTCATTTATACCACGTTTGCTTTCCGCTACCCTGGGGCCTGAGAACCAGCTCTGGCCCAGGTAACCCACTGACTTCCATTCTTTGCAAACACAATTTTGTCAGTAAGAGATAAACAATAGCCTTGGGATATGGGTTCCTCTT